AATGCCTCCGCAAATCTTTCTTCAACTTGTCTCAACCTGTTTACTCACTCTTGCAAACTCATTCCCACCAAACAGTTGATATCCAACTAGGCTGTCCTAACATTATAATGTCAAGTGGTCATTTTACTCTACTTTCGTTCCAGTTCACAGACCGTCGGTTATTATCTACTAGTTGGCTTTTCCGGTCCAGACCGGGCCACTGTTCTCCTGCACTGCGAGCCCCCCCCCCCCCTTTCATGTGTTATGGTTAACTTACCCTGGAACATCCTCTTCAAAACAGCATCCTCGTGATCCTAAGGTGAAAATGAGCTTTACCGCCCTCCTTTACATGAATATGGCAAAATGCTCGATTATCATGATAACCCTTCAATTCCTTTGAAAAACGTAAATAAATCAGTAAATCGATAGAAGGACCCAGTGAATCGCCGCAAGAAGTAGCCTAAAACCGTCTCCGAGGTCGAAAACGTCTGTGTGCAAACTTTCAGCCCTATCGGTTGAGCGGCGCGCGTTTCTATAATTCACATAGTCTCCAAACGGACAATTTTTGAGTTTTATGTACAGGGTGTCCGTAAAGTATGTTTACACTGTTTGATCGTTAATATCTCTTTTCCCAAGAAGTCTTTTGCCTTGCTTCAGGTACCATTTTGTAGAGCTGGCTTCAACTTAGATTCGCCGTATAAGCGAATCACCTATTCCTCTTTATTACTGTAGGATTACGGTAGAAACTTGAAGCATATGGTGTCAATGTGGAAAAAGCTGTCGTTTCAAAATTTTTCAAAAAATTTGAAAACTTGTGTAATAGGGTTTTTGTGGACGCTGAGTTCAATACTCAATTATTCACAAGATTGCGAAGCTTTCACGGTGTAACCGCACTTTTCAATAACATTGAAAAATGGCCGCTACCTCTTACCTGGCATAACTCTTCAATGAAGCATCATAATAAGTTTAAATCTTTACAATTAGAATCAGCAACTCTAATTAGCCTAGTGTAAAAGTTTTCAAATTGTTTTGTTTCCTTTCTGAGCCAAAATATGGACTTCCATGGCTCAAAACCCTCTTGAAGTTTCCAGCGCAATCCTACACTAATGAAGAGAGATGGAAGATTCGCTCCATATGGCAAATCTAAGTTGAAGCCAGCTCTACAAAATGGCACCTAAAGCAAGGCAAAAGACTTCTTGGGAAAAGAGATATTTATTAACGACCAAACAGTGTATACATACTTTACGGACTCCCTGTATGTAGAGATGACTAACAATAACTTACTTTCATTTCAACTAGAATCCATGTTATATCCGGGCTTCGCTTTTTAAGACTTTTCAATGAATCTCCACCAAATCAAATTCGTAAAAGAGCTTTCTGCAGAAAACAAGCTTCGGCTAGACTTTGCACTGCAACTTGTGAATCAAAATGCTTATTTCATAGGAAACATTGTGCTACACTACAGCACAAGCGATTTCTGAGTTGGAAAAACCAAAAATCTTCATAAACTTGATGACTTCGCAAATGCTTTATTTGCTCTTTTCTCTTTCAGCACTAACGTTTATATTTCTAAATTTTTTCCTTTAAAATGGAAAAGAATGTAAACCTAAAAATCCGAGATTTTGAGTTTCCGGTGATACGGTAGCGATTTCTTGGAATAGCAAAAAACACCTTCTGTTTAAAAAAAATTTGTTTACTTCCTTTTCCTTACGCGGAAGAAATTTGACCTATCAATACGCGTATGACAAATCGCTAACTACGGCTTTCAGCCTCAAAGAATAACTGAGGAAAACATTCTACGTAGGTTCTGCAGATGCAGAATGGTGGAAGACTGATTACAGCTCACATGCTTTATGCAGATTTAATCATCGAAAACTTGCTGAAAAGTTGCTTTCACTTTGGAAAATTCACATGGTCAGTCATCAGGTGTACTACGTTCGAGATGTGGCTCGCACAAAATTATACGAGCTGATTTGATTGAAAGTTATGAGTTAGTCAGTTAGATTAATTCCACTTAACTTGGTATATGTTAAGATTAACGATAGCTGAAAATACGGCACCTGAGTACACGGTGTCAATAAAAGATACACGTAGCACCGCCTCAGCAGCGGACGAGCTCACCTAGGCGATATATTTTGTAGCAGTAAATGCCTGGGGCTTTGTTCTTCTTTTTTGAATTTTAAGTCAGCTTTTGCTCCTTTTAATGTAGTAAATTATTCAGCAATCACATCGCCATCAAGACGCGATAGAAATGTTTTGAGCTCAACTCAGCATGTGGATGTAAGCTCTTATGGATGAGTCATAAACGAATTTTGATAAAAAGAACTCAAGTTTGAATTATTTTTTCCCAATTTTTGAGATGGCGGGCTGTCATGCGCGCCCGAGCAGCCGGCAGCTTGCGGCTGGCAAAGCTATCGTTATTCTTGAGCGCCACCCCGCATTACTTACTCATTTGTATGAGAACAAACCTTTACTTTTTTTTCTATTCGTTTTGCAATTGAATAACTTTCATGACTTTTGAAAGAATTTTTATTTTTCGAATGGGGAACCCGTAGATTTGGTAGTTAGTCTGGATTTACGGAAATTTTTTTCTATGATTTTCAGAGCATTCCAAAGTTGTTTTCAAAACCTTTTTTGGCCCTTCCGAAGAAGATAAAACTATTTCCGTTCATTCACTACCCTAAAATGGGCTAGAGAACACATTCTCAAAAATCGCCATCAAATATGCAAAAAGGTCAAAAATGGATTTCGTCCTAGCTCACCTTGCTGCTGGAAGTAAAATGGGCTCTTGAGTCCATTCGAAATGGAGAAAAATTCTGCATAGCCTCATTCTAAATGGACTTTATAGCGTATTCTTTCGCAAGCGGGAGCTCAGGTAGGGGTAAATCATTTTCATTACACCGCTTCTTTGCCTCGCGGCTGCGATGGTATAGAAATTTTCAAATAAAGCAAGCGATAGCAGAATCCGATTAGTTTTTACCGTGATGGAATAGCTCTGAAAGTCCATTCCTCCGTTGTGAACTTTCATGGATATCATTTCTGGAATGCCGAAATCCTTCATAATTTGAGGCCTTACCAAAGCATACAGTCCCTGCACATTGCAGTTCAACACTTAAGGCCACCCTCAGCCACGTTGACAGGCCTTTCATAAAGGGGAATCGAGTAATATAAGTTCGTTTCAATGTTGTGAGACAATCATTTGACATTCGCTCTTTGAATATCTTTAGTTACTACAACTATTATACCAAGGTAGAGACTCAGCTTTCTATGAAAGGAACCATGAATGCAGGCTACAATTAGCTTTCAACCTTTTGAAGGCATCAGAAGAGTGTCTTGGGCGTAACGTTGCAATTACAAGATTCCCATAGTCTATAATCTTTCAGTCCCATCAACAATTCCGCGGTTTGCACTTGTGCATAGTCACAGCGTGCATTTTCAAGCATGAGCGTTTAGTTGTCAACGCATGAACGAAATGTTGATTAAAAACATACACTAAGCACAGCACAACGCACCAAATACAAAAAGCTCGGCACAAGTGATAGTATTGAGATTTCGAGTCATCAACAGTTAGTCTTCTTATAGTCTTGTTATACATGCGATTTTACAAAAGTGCTTTTTCTGGTTTCTTGAGCCTATTTGTGTACCAGTGCGTCAGCTCTGCTTCGCACTATCTGAATGCCCCCACTCACTCTCGCATAATGATGGCACTAAAACTCAACGAGCAATCCCGACTATCACGAATAAAATGTAAACAATTACTCATTCTGAAAGTTTTTTTATGTGAAATCGGTGACTTTGCGTGGATGCAATTTTTTGCAAAAGAACAATCGCAAATTTGGATAAGTTTTCGAATTTTCCATGGTTTTGGTGGTCGTCATACATATAATCATGCTACATCTTTGTACAAAAATTCTGTCAAATGCCCAGGTAAGACTTTGGCAAATTGATCATCTACGCAACTCATACCTTTTTGGCGCCGTTTTACTAAAGCAGGAGACTTTTGATCACTCTTTTGGGTCAAAGCCCATGGCTTGCACATTTCCTTGCCGAACACATCCACGACTCTGCAAAAAGTGAAAATACGAACCCAATTTTGCGGGCTAGAAGCCCAGTGGATCCGTCTGACGCGCAGTTCTTTTAAGGGATCCAGTCAAGGAATCTGCTCGTGCTTTTGCAGTTGGACTTTCATGCTGGTAGCATATGCTGTGCAAAATTCAAGCCCAAGAGGTTGGCTGGACACACACACACACACCACACACACACACACACACACACACACACACACACACACACACACACACACACACACACACACACACACACACACACACACACACACACACACACACACACACACACATATGAGAGAGAGAAGTCACAAACAACCTCACCATTAACATGTGGTTCACTATTATGAACCTCATTTACAGCACTATCTCAGTCTGAAGCGGCACTCTCATCTACATTTTTTGAGTCTTTTTCTTCCCTTTACTCGGACTTTGTTTGACCAGTGACACTATGACTCAGGAGAACATCTCTTAGCCCTTTATTATGAGTAATGTATAAATCTTGTCTCAGTGTTACTTCTGCAAGACATAATTTTGACATGAAGCGCTAAGGCATCTCCAAAGAGAAAATTGAAGGCGGTGACCTTGCAAATGCTCGACTCAATAAATCTCGCTTATCTGGCGTTATTCAATACGTTGATCCTGTAAATGACTTCGGAGGGCGTGAAAGTAGCACAAACGAGCACTTTTCAAGGGCATTCAAATTCGGACGAGTGCTGGTTCCTTAGGTGTAAAATACTGTGTAGGAATTGTGAGCGCCCACAAAATTGGCTTGCGCACAAGAGCCGAGAGCAATTAGGGGGGGGGGATACATGCCGTGGGACACTGGACCTGCTCTGTCATGTTTAGTAGGTAAGCAACCTACCACACCAGAATTTAAGTTGTTATTTGCCGTTTCACTACCTTCAACTCAAATGAAGTAATGTTGTTGTTTTGTTGAGTTGTCGAGTTTAGGCTGCACTGATCGCACGAATACGACGAAGAAACTCAAGTTGAGCGTAAATGAAAAAAATACGTTAATAGAATCATGTCGCTATGCGATTACAATTGAGCTACTCGACGGATTGATTTTTGACGCTGATGGTTTGTCTAATGGAAATTTCAACTGGCTTTTGAGCAAAGAACTACATATGTGCGTAGAAGCAAAACATACAGACTTCTCCTCTATTTCCGTGAGAACTAAACTGATCAAGGGCAAATGCACTGGTGAGTTGTAACAAACTTTTTGAAAGAATATTGGTTTGATTTGAAATTATAACAATACGCAGGACCATTGCTGCGGATAATCAATAACGACAACCTACAGTTTCTGTTGATTGAGCCAAAGCTTTTACAAAGCTTTGAAGGAAACTCAGAAAAATCAGTGACCGTTAGAGGAAATGAAAAATTGGAAGAATCAAATTTAGAATTACTGCGACAATTCAATGGCGTTGTAGATCTGCAAGAGAATGGAGGTGAGATGCTAACACGTTAAGTCTTGAAAGTACTTTGAATTTGAATAAAGAAGGAACTTCTCTTGAATGAATATAATTGAGATTTACCTGTGTCCCAAAAGTGTGTATACCATTTGGTCCTGTGCATCTTTCCTACCACCTAGTTTTTCGCCGACCTCTTTGCACCACTGTATAGAGCTATCCCCAGTTTTTATTCGTTACTGTAAAAACACGGTGCTTTGAAAAGGGTTAAATCACGGCACATAGGTGTGTCATGCGATGAGTACTGCGTAGACCACACGACACCCATATCGTACCAAGGCTTATTCTATGAGATTGAGGGCTATCTCAGGATTAACCCACTCTCCATGAGCTTTCTTCTGTGCTAGATTCAAAAAAATCTCCATATTTTATATCAGCCTCAGATATGGTAGATATACTGTAGATGGCAATATTTTTTTTATTCTCGCATTTTGCCGATCAGGCTCTAGAACTCTTGTGAGTACCTTCCACAGTGCGCGGTCCTAAGCTTGCTCTTCTTCGATCTCAAGTTTTGTAAGATCTTATTCGTCTTTTGATCGTTTTGATCTTATCCAACCACCTCAGCTTTGACCTTCCTCTTGGTCTTTCCTCTTTCCTGATACATCTTCGGACGTGTCCATCTGGTATTGTGGCCTTTTCCCTTCTTTTCACGTGGCTGCACAAAGTCTCTTCTCCTGCATTTTTCTAAGCTACTGGTCGATCTTCATTGCGGTTCGTACTGTGTCGCTGGCGGCGTGGTCCAGCATAGCGAGGCCTATCGTCCATCGAAGCATTCCTGTCTTCGTCACATTCATCTTTCGTTCGTCTTCGCGCACGTATGGCCAACATTCACTAGCGTACAGCGCGGTAGGTCGTATCACTGTGCGAAACGTCTGCGACTTTAGGTGTAGCGACATCCGCTAGCCACACATAATTCTACAACTGGATACAACACTGGATACGACAAAGACACAGTCTCCTTTAGTGTTTACAAGTGTTTACATAGAAATGATTTCGTATCATATAAATATAATCTACACGATAGTAAGAATATTAACAAAGTTTTCGAACGTATTTACGAATAATACAAACTATACTATGTATCTTAAACTATACGCGGATTTATGTTTAATACAATCTATTATCATGAAGTTCATTCATAAACACCTTAAACATGGGTGTACTTCATTTTTAATATTATTAGTGCGTAATGTGGTCGTATGCGATGTCACTCATATATTATCAAGTTATTGTTATGTATGTATCACAAGTAAACATTTGAAGGTAAGAACTCCTTTTTCAAATAACTCAAGCTGTTTTTGTTTTCCCAATAGGGTGCGGGTGGTCCGATATTGGGAACCTTAAAACTCTTGGCCCATGGTGGTTACTTGGCAAGATAATTACGGATATGTGGCTGATTAAGCATGATAGAGCCCTTGGTGTCATGCCTACGGAAAGCAAACGATAATGCTGGTGGGGGGGGGGGAGGGAGGGAGGGGGGGGGGGGGCAGTATTGAGACAGAAGATAGGGGAGGGGCCGCATCCGGTGCTTGTGTGCCACACCTCTTGCTCGACCCTGCTCATAACTCCTTCCAGATAGTCGTTCGGCAGATAATAAACATATCTGAAATTAGCGTTTTAAGGCCATGGCTGTCACTTCTGACCATTTCTTCGTAAGCTTCAAGCATCATTCCGTAGAGCTGGCTCAACTTATTGTTAAATTTACAGTTCATTGCGAATCGCCGATTTATCTGTTGTTGCAAAGTTGTGGTAGGAACTCTGACCGTACAGCGCCATTGTGTAAAGGCCGTTTACAAAAAAAAATTCCAAAAAATCTGGGAGAGTTGTTAGCAGAACTTTTAGACAGTTGATTTCACTAAACAATGTTTTAAGGAGTTTTCTGTGAAATTTGAGTAGTTCATTCACATCTTTAAAATTACAGAAAAGCGGTTTATGTAGCATAACTTGAAAAAAAAGCCTTAAGATAAAGTCAATTTTATAGGTCAGCGGCTCAGTTCAGCCCAATGATAAAGTTCTCAGCTTGTTGAATATACATCCTGAAAGAAAATATAGCCGTAGATCTCTTTAGAGTTCCTGCCACAATTCTAAAGTAATATGTTTTTTCAAGATGCGCTTTCTGTTCCATTGTGAGCGACCGGTGCTTAGTGGAATTCGTGTCTCGCGCGACTGAATCGCTTGGGCTCCGCCCCTTTTCCGCGAGTGTTGCTTGGGATGAGCGGAGCTACGATCGCTAATCAAGGCTAAGAAATGGTTAAAGAGCACACCAGAGAAAGAGATGCAGAGCCCAGACGAAGTGGCTGTGGGATTCAAGTTTCATCGACCCCCGTCACTTCCAAAGATACAGAGGTTAAATCTAAGTTAAAGCCTGTTTTACTAAATGGTACTTGAAGCTTAGCAAAAGACTTTGTAAAAAACTTATCGACTATCAAAAATGTGTATCTATTTTTGGGACATCGTGCACTTTTGGATCTCAAGCTATCTTTACAGTGCCTGCGACCAGCTACACTGCAGCATAAACAAAAAAACAGGAAAAGCTGTCCTTTTTAGTTTAACTTGGCTTCCAATCCAGAAAACATAAAGACATTTATACCAGCGGCGCCAGGATTGCATCGACAGTCATGCTGGACTCAGCAGTCAGAAAGCGATTTCTTCGCTCTCCACTGACTCATGATACTATTAGGTTGTCCCAAAACTAAACTCCTTTTTTGAATAACTCAAACTGTTTTTGTTTTTCTAGTATATTAAGGGTATCATTCGATAGAGCAGATCCAGCACTACAAAATATTTTGCAAAGGATCCGCCTAAGTCGCATTCCATAGAAAGGAGACCAAAATCTGAAAAAACTTTGTCACCTGAAAGTTGGATTTCTGCGATAAAGAATCCTACAGAACACCAACTTGTCATTATATAGTAGGAACAAGTTACCCAAATATGCCCTTACCGAATTTTTTCCGAGCAAAGAAAGAAAGAAAGCGAGAAACAAAAATGTCCAAAATGGCAAACTCCGCCCCCAGCCCCTCCCACATATGTCATTGTATACTTGCCTTAGTAGTATAATTTCAAAACCTTACCCCTGTATGTCCTCTTATCTTCGAGAAATATCAAGTTTTACATAAAAACCCGAAAAATGGCATTTTGGGATTCGGGGACCATCTTTTTTCTCAATTTTGAGTCTCGGAAGAAAGCCGCCAAATACATTTTCGGGTGCTACTATGTGTCTGCTATATAAAGATCAAATTGGAAGTCTGTAGAGTTCTCTAGAAGGAGATTCTATTTTTAGGGTAGCTGAAAAACCTTGATTTTGGCACCATTAAGTGGATCTTTGGTAGTCTTTTTTTTAGAGCTTGCATCGCTCTATCGAATGTATCTAAAGTCTGTTAGGAGAACAAGAACAGCTTAATTTATCTGAAAATGGAGTTTACTTTTGGGACGACCTAATAAATATAAAGAATCATTGACAACATCTATATTTTGAAAATTTTCTTCTTACTTACACAATTTCCTAAAACCTTACTTTTCAAAAAAAATTCATGTACATACCTTTTACTCCTAAACAAATCTACTTCTGAGTTGAAAATAAGTTTTACAGACCTTCCTTCTTTATCAAGGAGTTCCAGGAAGGTCTGTAAACACTTTTACTCCGTCTATGGGCGGGAACGAAACGAAGCTTTATGGTTATTTACAATTGTGAATTCAAAACCTTTTCTTCTTATTATTCTGCAAGATTCCTCCACTTTAAACCATGCTGCGCTTATTCTGGTGGATAACCCGTCTTATGTGGTTCCCTAGATGTTTGGAGGTCTTTTTGAACTGCGTGCTTCCGACCTGGATTGTTCCGAATGTTTAGACTTCCATTCTATGTTTTCCATCTGCGAGGTATTGATCCTCAGGCCATGTTGCTTTAGCTGAGTTGTCCGCATCCGACTCCGTCTCTAACTCCTTCACGCTTCTTGCCATCAGGATAACATCACCGGCGTCCATGATAGCCCATAGTGATCTGTATGAATTTTCTGACTATAGCATCGCAACCGTGATGAACAGGGAGAAGAGTAGGATTATTGGTGTACACCGGGATCTATCTAAAAGTCTTTCAATCGTCGCGCTTCTATCATGCGTAACCGGTGACATATCGGCATGTTCTTATTATTGAACTTACTCTCCTAACTTGGTGCGCTTTCGCTGTGCCTACCCGATTGTGTCGCGTGGCACTTTTCGAACGCCTTTATCAAGTCCAGGAATGCAATATACAGCTCACATTGCCTGCACCTGCTTCTTACCATTGTTCCGACTGTATAACTGGCATCTGTTGTACTGCAGCTTCCAGCCAACCACTGGTCTGGAGCCAGCTCTTCTTTACTTTCGTCCTGTCTTCTCTAGATTCTTTCAAATCTTTAGGATTGGCACATGAGTCAGATAGGCCGGTACGTCGAGCAGTCAGCTGTATCGCTTTCTTCTTTTACAAAGGTACCGTCGTGCTTTTGTACCAGTCGCTTTTCATGGTCTTGGAGTCTACTATTTGATCCAGATGTCGCGTTAGCCACGATGCTCCAGCTTCTCCACAACCCTTTCAGAACTCGTTGGAGATGTTATCTGAACCGCTGCGTTGCAGCTCATCGTCTTCATTATCGCGATGTGGACTTCCTCTTTCGTGATTATCGGTGCTGATCCGCTAACTTATTCAGCTAGTGTCGATGCACATTCATAGCTCGAGGACGCCATCTCAGCAAAGTGTGTTTGCCATTTTCCCTAATCTCCTGCGGTCTTCTCAGCATACTTCCGTGCACATTTCTGATACTGTAGAAACGTTCTACATCTTTCGTGTCGCTCCTTCGTGACTGTGCAGCTCCCTGTACAAATCGTTACATACGTTTGCTTCTCTTTGTCACACCTTTCGCGGCTAGGCTTCTAACAATCATCTTCTGTTGGGTTCTTCTGCCATATCTTGCAGGCTGCCTTCTTATTCTTTATTATGAGCCTTATTGAGCCTCGCTCTCGCGGGTTTCCTACACCCTAGTAGTCCGCATGCTGTATGGTCACGTTGTTCTTCACATGCATCCAGGAGTGTTCTGGATCGTCTTTTAGTTCTGTAACATTGCCGCTTTGGTGCAAGTGATTTGCTTGTCGAAAGGAGCTTGGATCCAGTAGAGGGGCCTCTGCTGCGGAATGCAGTGTTTGCCTGGAAAAGCTCTGCTATCATTCACATCTTAAAGGCACCGGCCACCCAAGTTCTCGTCTTCCATGTTTTTATCGCTTGCAGACCTTCTGAAGGCCCTGATTTCGAATATAGAGTCGAGAATACACGAACCCCACAAAACCCCCGTTTTTCAAGAAGGGTTGCAAGTGCGGGGCTGGCGCTGATAAACGCCGGGCGCGTCATTTGCAAACCTGCAAAGTGGGCGGGGTGACCAGGTGGGCGGAGTGACCAGCACCGGATCATGACCCTTCCGGAACGAATTTCCCGCTCCGAAACCAATCTTTTGCTGCGAAACTTGGGTTTTTGCCTAGTGTGGAGGTCCACGCTAGTATGCCATCATAACCTCGTCAACCCCACTTTGGGTGGACGGTACCTCTAAGTCTCCTTGCCAAACTGTTCAGAAGTTTGTTTGTAATGTACGTGGCCTCCTCTTACACACTGAAATGATCGCTTCTCTTTATGAAGTAAGTATTTGCCAAATGAAGCTGTGAGCTGTAACAAACTCGAGAATGCGCCCACTTTCGTCGTTGCGTAAGCCATATCCGTTTTTGCCGTGACAATTTCTTACATCTCTTCGTTGTTCTCTCACAGAACAAGTAAAATCTGCTCCTCCGATGCATCTCTTCTATTGGTACTGATCCTATGTGTCGTTGAATTCTTGCTAGAATATTCCTTCTCTCGCGGAATTCGTTTTCCAGTAACTTTCCTCATGCTCACGATTCGATCAGTTGATCTAAACATGTTATTCCGTTTTTCAGCTTTTTACAGGCTACTATTCCTCCGCCGTCCCAGCTGCTATTTGCTCCTTTGCGCAGAAGTTTGGAGCTATCTGAAACATAACGCGATTTCTCCCCTTCCATCTGATTTTCCGAATGAGGACGATGTCCACTTTACACTCTAAGAAGATCTGCGAGTTTTCGATGCCGTACGAACCTACTAGATGGTGGCTAGCCGAAGCGCTCTTGGGAATTTCAAACGTTGCCTTGTTTATGATGAACTAGCTTCTTTAGCCGTCTCCAGTCCCTTGTTGAGACAACAATCCTTACTTACTGTTCCATTTGGGCTCCAATGCGCGTCTTCCAGAGTACACCCTAGCTTTTAATCAAATATCCTGATGAAAAATAAAAGAGCATCTGATGCGATGGAATTTATTCATACTTAATAGGTGTTCCACAATGACGCTTTATGTTAGAATTCTTCACGTAATTTTACAGTATTAAGAAACGATCGCTAATTTGTTTCTGAATTCAAACTGAACCCAATTCTACAGAATGATACTTGAAAAAAGGCAAAGAACCGTGGGAAGAAAGATAATAACGTTCAAACATGCTTTTGGGACATCCTGTAATACTGGTACCTATTAAAACATGACCTTGCAGAATGTGCAATGCCAAAACTACTTTCGGATTTTACCAGCATAGGCTCAAAGTGCACTTCGATTTACGGCGATCTTAGAGTGGATCCAACTACACCTTTTATCAAAATATCGGATACAATGAAAGGGAGATACAAATATGAAGGTTGTGTGATGATAGAGGACAGTATTCTAGAAGATGTGGAGTTTTTGGAGGCGTTTGCTTCTTTCAAGCCAACACCATTCTGCCGACAGAGTAAGTTTCAGCAATGGTCCACTCATAGAGAACGGTGAGACAAATTAGCGGTGCTTTCGATTGTCACATACAGATGCCCTTGATGATATTTAACTGCTAATGGCTTCCTCATTGTTCCTACAGAAACGCACTTTTGCAATGCTCACATAAATCAGGACATTGAAATTATACATATTGGCAAGGAGACACATAAACGCATAAAACACTGACACAACATGAAGGAACTCCGATACCAAGAAAAAATGGTTAGACATGGTGGTTTTCGTAGTCTGAAAGTTACCAGTGAATGACTTGAATTTGATTACGTCGGCTATCAATTCGCTTTTTATTTGTTCAGTTTTTCCATCCATTACATGAGTGGATAAAAGTCTGAAAGCGCTGAAGTTTCTTGCTTAACTTTGTCCTGATACATTTTTGACGTTTCTATCGCATTTACGCTGCAGAGTTGACTCCAATAATAATAACGCACCCTTTAGCATTGGCGGACCGAGACCCCCCCCCCGAATGGGTTTGCGAAATTTTTGAAATTTACTTTCTGGTTATAAAGGTATGCAAGTGGCTTGTTCATTCTTGTAAGCAATTGAAATAATTTTTAAAATTTTTTGAAAATTCAAATCAGCCTCATAAAATTTTTTTTCGGGGGCGTGGCTGACGCCACGCTCCCTTTTTTCCAGATTTTGGGGGTTGGGGACTCGCAAAAAGAAAATCACAACTAAAATTTTTATGGAGTGGCTGACGCCACGCACGTTCATTTGAAAAAAAATTTTCCGCCTCTCCCCCTCCGTCCCCGGACGAAAATCTAGGACCGCCTCTGCCCCTTGGGTATAAACAGCTGTGTAACGCTCGCATAAAATCTTGTTCGATTCATGTGGATAAAGCAAACCATGCATTACTCTATTCAATACATCAGAGACAGGATTTGCAACGAATGTGGCATTTGTTCAGAGAACAGTACTTGTTAGGCAAAAACTCACTACTCTTTTGGCAGACACATCTCCATCATTTTTATTCTATAATCGGTACCCTCATCCTGAGCCGTATTATCAGTCTGCAAAAAAACTTTCAAAATTTCGCAATAACGTTCAAACCATAGAGCACTTGACCATGATTGATTCTCACTGCACAAATTTTCCCAAAGGAACTGGGTTGTTTCATACTGCAGTCGCTGCAGTAACGACATTCGATCGATCGATATCTTTTGCCCGCCCCTATATAACTGCATTTGCTGCAACGACTGCAGTATGAAAGAACTTGCGTCGAACAAACAACAACAGGCCTTCTAAGCCCTCATATCGAAATGCTTCTTGTTCATTTGGTGTCTTTCTGGTTTGTCTGTGATAGTTATTAGATGCATTAGAGAAGCGAATATCTGGTCAAAGGTTTGCTAAATGCCGCCATCAATGGTACACTGCCTATTCTCAAACTTACATTGCGCATGAAGACTAAAACAGCATCATGTTTGCACAGAGGCAGTAATGGCAGCACATAATCAACAACGCATGAGGATTTGCAGTACGTCACCTAAATTGACAAATTTACTGCAGGCATTCACAACAATAGGAAACTATGTGTGAAAAACATGAGATACATTGCCAATGTTTTCGTTGATATAGAAGTATATCGAAATCGAGACGAATGCGGTAATTTCCTTCAACGCACCGTTTTGCAATCACTCACCCATATTACAGATGGAGAGTGTATTGGAGGTGTTGTTACAGATAAATTTTTGAGGAACAATGATGGTTGCAGACATGTGTACGGAAATTTGTCAATCGTTGGATGGAGAAGTAAGCATTTTCTGTGTGTTCCAATTATAAGAGGGTAACTTTGGTCAAAATGATTTCGCACTGGCTGGTAAGACGTTGTAGCTTTCAAGGTGGATCCGAAGCAACTTAAGGTGGCTGGGTTGGTTGAATTTGCGGAAGTATTTAATGTTCTACTGATTGTTCTCAATGTTGATTACACGAATTGTCAGGTGCAAGTAATTACACATCCAAAGCGATGTAGATCACTTCACCAGTAGACTTTCTGAAGTTTTGTAAACAGACTACAGTGCTCATTTATTCAAAAGTCATTTAAGAAGGGAAATTCTGTACAACACTAGTTCAAAAGTACTGAGTTGTAAGTCAGGGAAAGATGATAGGTGTTCGTGGTAATTATTCAGCTGATAATGTCTGAGTCGTATGTAAACCCAAACGTACGTTTGATGACCCGACATTGGATTGACATCACTGAACACGTTTTTCGGAAGAGTGTACGAAACATATGAAAATTTGATCTCCTGCGCTCTTCAGCGGTTTGCTAGCTTTGCAAAATAAAAAATGCCCACATATCGCTAATTTTTCAAGCTTGTGATCTTGATATTAACAACTAAAGGCAACGTGACCTCAAACCTCTTTCCCTGTTGCAATTCTTGGGCTTATCGGAGTCATGCCTTCATAGGTTCGCATAGTTAAAAAAACAGACCACCATAAACATCTATAGTTATAAACAATTTATTTCAGAAAAGCCGAATGAAGTGCGAGTTTTGCGGAAAATACAAACCATAGAAGGGACACTTATTATTGAAAACAACGATGATCTGCATAATTTTACAGAATTCTCTAATCTGCGAACTATTGGCAAACAAACAGGTGCGCGTTCCCATTGATCCATCTATGTAGAGCGGACTTGAAGTAGAAATAGTCATAAGTAGATCTCAAGCTACATCCAAATGCAAACCTCATCTGTAACAAATGCAGGTTTACAGCCGGAATCCAGCTGTCACTGTATTGAAATAGAAAACAATTTTCGTGTTTACTTGATTATAGCCGGAGGTTTCATTCCACTAATTGCTGCTCACGGCCTACTTTGAGTAATGTCGCACGATGTCCTCTCGCTTTACATGCGACATCTGACATGTAGACTGTGTTAAGACATCCTCCATTTTGCAGAAGAACTAGGCATCTGCTACTATAGACCATTGCGCGCGGACCCAATCGATGGTACCAGTTTGCATTTTGAGAGGCGGAGTTGCTGCGTGGGGCCGGCGCTGATGGAAAAGTAATTACGCCTCAACAAACGTTGTAGTTATGAAGATTTTACACGGAAATTATGATGGTACTAATCATCTTCAAATGCTTTCTTGTTGTTCTGCTTTGCGTTGCATTATGCATATCTGAATAAACAAGGATGAACACAGATGAGAGCAAAATAAATTGCGAATTGGGACCGCTTGCGACACACGCGGCACTGTCAGCCCCCAATTCAATTTTATGAACGTTTTTTAAATGTTTGAATTTACGATGGTACTAATCGCCTCCAAATGCTTTTTCTTGTTGTTCTGCTTTGCGTTGCATTGTGCATATCTGAATAAACAAGAATGAGCACAGATGAGAGCGAATAAATTCTAGACTGGAACTGTTGCGGCACGCGCGACACTGTCAGCCCTCAATTCAATCTTATGAATGTTTATTAAATGTTTTCTTTGTTATGACCGCTTTTCTTGTCCTTTAACATCACTCATGTAGCAGTTGGCAACTTTGTTGTTGTTAGGCATAGTTTTGCATGGTTTTCCAAGCATGGTTTTCCAAATCCGACAACATACTATGTTGAAAGGCCGTTTTGAGTGGAAAATTACTGGTGATATAAATACCAAAAATAGAAATCTATAGAGTCTTTTACTATCAACTAAAGTGCAGTTTCTCGCGATTCTGATTTAAACGCATTTTAAATTGGCAAGGAGGTTTATATAGTGACTGGGTCCCTCGCGATAGGTAACGCAGTCCTCCAAGATAAATGTTCGTTGCATGTGACTAAACGACGTTGCGTTGAAAGATGGTTTAATTTTTTGCGGTGTAAGGTTTTCGACAAAATCCTTGGCGATATTATAGTATTCACATGTTTTACTTTCCTGAGTCATAGTGTCACTGGTCAAACAGAAGTCCGAGTAAAGGGAAGAAAAAGACTCAAAAAATGTAGATGAGAGTGCCGCTTCAGACTGAGATAGTGCTGTAAATGAGGCTCATAATAGTGAACCACATGTTAATGGTGAGGTTGTTTGTGACTTCTCTCTCTCATATGTGTGTGTGTATGTGTATGTGTATGTGTATGTGTATGTGTATGTGTATGTGTATGTGTATGTGTATGTGTATGTGTATGTGTATATGTGTATGTGTATATGTGTATGTGTATATGTGTATGTGTATGTGTATGTGTATGTGTATGTGTATATGTGTTTGTGTATATGTGTATGTGTATATGTGTATGTGCATATGTGTATGTGTATGTGTATGTGTATGCGTATGCGTATGTGTATGTGTATGTGTATGTGTATGTGTATGTGTATGTGTATGTGTATGTGTATGTTTTGAAAGTTACTTATATGGGTTATAAAAATGTGCAAGTGACTTGTTTCTTTTTGTAAATAATTAAAATAATTTTTAAAAATTTTTAAAAATTCAAATTAGCTTTGTAAAATTTTTTGGGGGCGTGGCTGACGCCACGCCCCCTTTTTCGAGATTTTAGGGGTCGGGGATCCCCAAAGGTTTTGAGAAGCACCCCAAAACTTTTTTCGGAGTGCGTGGCTAACGCCACGCACCTTTTTTAGAAAATTTTTTGTCGCCCCCCCCCCCGAGCCGAAATCCTGGGTACGCCACTGGTATGTGATGTGTATGTGTATGTGTATGTGTATGTGTATATGTGTATGTGTATATGTGTATGTGCATATGTGTATGTGTATGTGTATGTGTATGCGTATGCGTATGTGTATGTGTATGTGTATGTGTATGTGTATGTGTATGTGTATGTGTATGTGTATGTTTTGAAAGTTACTTATATGGGTTATAAAAATGTGCAAGTGACTTGTTTCTTTTTGTAAATAATTAAAATAATTTTTAAAAATTTTTAAAAATTCAAATTAATTTTGTAAAATTTTTTGGGGGCGTGGCTGACGCCACGCCCCCTTTTTCGAGATTTTAGGGGTCGGGGATCCCCAAAGGTTTTGAGAAGCACCCCAAAACTTTTTTCGGAGTGCGTGGCTAACGCCACGCACCTTTTTTAGAAAATTTTTTGTCGCCCCCCCCCCCCCGAGCCGAAATCCTGGGTACGCCACTGGTATGTGATGTGTATGTGTATGTGTATGTGTATGTGTGTGTGTATGTGTGTGTGTGTGGTGTGTGTGTGTGTGTGTGTGTGTGTGTGTGTGTGTGTGTGTGTGTGTGTGTGTGTGTGTGTGTGTGTGTGTGTGTACGTATATTCCGAACAGAAAATTTTACTTCCGAACCGAACCGGACCAAACACATACGCTTGGAGGCGAAGGAGTGTCGTAGGCTACTCTTCGTTGTTATAATCGAGCATGCTGATTACTAACACAGAGGGAATAGCCAATTGGCTTGTAGAAATATGCACAGGAAAAGGTTGTACAAGAATAGGAAAGGACTCTTCATCACAGTGGACAGGGCGGGGCTAAGCCGGGTAAGCCACCTTGTTTTTTCTTAAGAGAGAACCCCAAATTGCAGTGGCGATCTGTAACAAAATACCAGTGGAGGTGTCTTTTCAGGTTGAATCCAAATTTCACCTGCATAGCATTTGCGAAGTTTTCAAGAGGATGTTATGACTATTCATATGACCAAGTGTGGCAAACAATCAGTAGCACATTTCTAAGAATTTGTGGTTTCAAAGCACTTATGTTTCTGGTCGATGTGTGCATTGCTTGTAGTCACCTCAACACATTGCCACTTATGCACCCCAAGCTGATGTCAACGTACATCATGCATTAGCACTCACATCAGACATTCTCTCTATGTTTCTCGGCGTAGTCGTAGCAGGCGGAAAATCTATGATTGTACTGCTAGACTGTTATAAAAGGCTGTTTTTATACGATTAAAAATGTATGAACAGCTCAGCGCTAGAGAAAGCACAGCAGAATTTCTCGTGATTTATAGCTTAAGAAAACTACAAAAGTTAATTGAATGAATCTGATGTGAATGTCAATTGCATGAATCTGATGCGAATCGAACATGCGCGAGCAAGTAGAAGATCCGTAGGATTTTTTGTAACAAAGATATCAGCCATCCGAGTAGGAGCAGAGTCTAGCCAAATAATAAAAAATTCAAGCTGATTGCCATTAGGTAATAAAATCTCTCGTGGTACTGATCAATTCCAATAGGCAGGACCGATCGCATTTGCATTTATCAACACACTCCAGCAAACCGCTCCATCTGTTTGAGTGCTCTCGCTGAGCAGGAGCTCACCCCAAACATTTGAATAGCCGTGTCTTTCCCACCCTTTGCGTTTCAATTCAATATTATACCGAAAGAGCTGGAATGAGCGGATAACAAATCCAAGGACGCAATGTCTTCCTCAGCAGCTTTTCGTGAAATGTTTATTGATGTTGAGAGGTAGCTCAAATAAGGTATGCTTTCTAGAATAAAAATTCAAAGTACTGAAAATAGTTTACGATGTGCACTGAAAAAAAAGTTGTTTATAGGCTCAGAATTGGATATCCTTGAGCTCCGATCCTTCCGGTAACGAATTCTGCAAAGACAACTGTTGCACGTCAGATGCATGCTCGCTTACCGTCCAAGTCGGCCGTGCTAATTGTTCGACGCGAGGCATCGCTAACCGTTTCTTACTGGGCAATATCTGAATCAGCCAAATCGTTGCAATTTTCGCTAGTCTCATTGTTAGCTATTTCTCGTTGTTGATTTGAAGTGACCAACGCAACAGTATCGCTAAGGTTGGAATTTGCTTCCGAAAGGTCCCATAATCTTTCTTCACTTTCTCTTGCCTGTTTCTTGTCTGGATTGAGAACTAGTTCAGTTTTGTCAGATTGCATTAGTTTTCCGTGATCAATGATTCGGTACCTATCCGAAGTTTGTCCAAGCTTTGGTTTTTTGTTTGTTGCTGGCTTAATTAACCGTTTCTTACTGGGCAATATCTGAATCAGCGAAATCGTTGCAATTTTCGCTAGTCTCATTGTTAGCTATTTCTCGTTGTTGATTTGAAGTGACCAACGCAACAGTATCGCTAAGGTTGGAATTTGCTTCCGAAAGGTCCCATAATCTTTCTTCACTTTCTCTTGCCTGTTTCTTGTCTGGATTGAGAACTAGTTCAGTTTTGTCAGATTGCATTAGTTTTCCGTGATCAATGATTCGGTACCTATCCGAAGTTTGTCCAAGCTTTGGTTTTTTGTTTGTTGCTGGCTTAATTAAACGATCGATTTGATTTAATATTTCATAATTAGTTCACAACAAAGCCGTTGACATACAACGACATCGCACACTTAAAATGAATGTAATTTTCAAAACTGTTTGTTGGCTCTAGCAAAATTTCGTATAAGTCTCAGCTTCAAACGAGGACAAGTACTGAAAGTGATAAATAATCACAATCCTTGCGTTTAATACTTGTGGCCTCATCAAAGCGCTAGTTCCCCGCAGAATGATTGGAATTCGCGATGATCTCATTGCTTAAGGTAAATCCAGCTATTTAAGTAGCATTTATCCCATATTATACTCGGCAACAAGCTCAGTTTTCCATCAACATTGAAATATTTGCGATTGCAGGCAGCGATGTAATGATAAGTATCAAAAATAATCCGGATTTATTGGATCTTCCACTACCATCGCTCAGCTACGCGAGCATATGGAAGCCCAATCCAAGGATCAAACTTGCTAACAATCCAAGGCTGAGACGAAATGGTAAAGTGACAGATCTTGCGACTGAACGACCAGTGCCAGGATTTCAATTTCAAAAAGATAAGCAGGCTCCGAAAAAAGAATTAAGAATTGTTGACGGTGAGTTAGTTGAACTAAATAGTGCGTCAAGATTCCAAGTCACGAAGTCATAAACTTACGATGTAGATCGTTTGAGTTGGTCTTAACGATAGCAGAGGATTGCTATTCAAACTCAGATCAGCTTCAGCTGATTTCCTTAGATTGCAGAAGTTATACAGATGACAGGCTTATAATCAACGCTTTTGACTCTAGCTTACTGCATCAGAACTTTGATAAAACAATAGCGCATTGTAAAAATGAAACCAAATTGCGCAGACTGCACACGAATTGAAGAGAAAACTAACTTGCGATAATGGGCTTGCAGAAATGATAGAAGCAGAAATTGAAAGATTTTGTCTTTTCGTGCTGCAGCATCTTCTGACAGTATCAGAGATAAGTATTAGCTTTGCTCACACGACAGTAAAGTGAATCACCGACCGGACGTTTCAACTGATACCCGGACAGCCGCTCGCAGTCGCACCGTGTGGTAATTGGTTAGCGCAACCTTAATTGTGCTGCACTACGCAGCCGCCCCCTCATTCTTCTAAACTCTCGAAATAGAATTTCATCATTCACGTCCGCGCTCTGAAATGCGAAACTAAATACCCTAATTTCACGCGTATAAGGCGCGGGGATTTTTTTTCCCAAAATCGACCAGCCCAGACACTCCAAAAGACTTTACAACCGAAGGACCCTATAACGTGCTGTCTATTGCTTGGGAGAATCGTGCGATGTAAGGATTTCTTTCCGGATCAATGTGCAGCGGCTGAGCGGCTCGCTTGAAAATTCGAAAAAATGCGCCTTATACGCGTGAAATTAGGGTGATACTGTTTCAACGGCCAAAATTTGTGCTAAAGGAGGAATTTGAAGAAACAAGTTTTGCGAAGGAACAATCTCTGAAAAACATTCAAGCGAACTGATATGGGGACCGGAGATATATGAGTGATTGAAGCCTCCAACACCGTTTCTAAATTTGTCCAATTCGGATATTACGTCGCTTTTTTCAAATTTTGAATAATAGAGTCATTGGAAATGGCCGAATAATAAGTTATTCGAGTCTTCTTGGAGAATATTCAACTTGTCGTAGTCTCGGATATTTGGAATTTCAAATATCTATCAGCTTTGAGTGTTTTTGACTAATAGCAAGAACAGATTAGTGAAGGATAAACGGACAAGGCCTTTTATGCAGTCTAACTCCATTCTTTGTTAAATTTTATAGATTTTCCCTCATGGAAATCATATGATGGGCGAAATTCGACGGGAGGTTTTGTGCCGAGTCATCATGAAAGATAGGTGTAGAATATGCAAAACCCTAAAAAATAAGATTTTGAATTTAGTTGCAATCATGTCCTGTATGTAAACGAAAAAGCCGGAATTCAAAAAAATTTGTGACCACGACTGAGAAATGTGAAGCATTTTTATTTTCAAAGATGGTTTAGAACAAAACATGTAGCTTTCAGGAGAGGAAAAACATTTAACTTCCTTTTAGAAGTTTTGATCGATTGATTGCAAGTAGTACCTAATTTGGTGGCATTGGATGTCAGTATAGATATTGACAACTTTTCAAAGTCGAGGCTATGCAATTAATAGTGTGATGAGCGACCTAGATCATTTCGCACGTTATTTGGGCTGCCAGGTAGCGCAAACAGTTAAACGTGCGTCGCGCCTCGCCAGTTATCACACGGTGCGGCTGCGAGCGGCTGTCCGGGTGTCAATAGACCATCTCCCTCACTGATCGCAGGTAAGGAGTTTTGGATGGGAGAATTAATATGATAGATTTGGTATCGACAACTACAGTAAGCAACCTGTGAATTTGAAGGAGTGGACACGGTTTATCAGTTACTATAGAATTCATACGGTATCGTGGACAAATCTCATAATGGTAATACTCTATTTTAAAAGCTTTTATGAAATACAGGGTTTGCTATATCGTGGTCACATAATTCGATAACTCATTATATGTGAATTTCATGGTGGTTTTCCATGGAGCTTTCATCTTATAGAACTTACCTGCTATTTTGAGATGACCTGTAATTTCATCCTGTGAGTATTGAAATCAAAACATACATGTACGCGAAGAATTGAAACCCCAACCGGCTTCTTATTGACTTCCAAATGTTTACGCACTTACTCTCCATAGCTCCTTACTATAATATAGTAAGGATCCTTTCACGCACTACGGCAGAGTTTTCTGCGTCCTTCCTATCCTTAAAGGCACCGTCCACCCAAATTCTCGACTTCCATGTTTTGTCGCTTACAGGCTTTTGAAGGCCCTGATCTGCGATTTGAAGTCGAAAAAACACGAAACCCCCAAAAATCTCCGTTTTCGAGAAACTGGAATACGGTGCAGGTGCAAGGCGAGGACTGCGGCACGTTATACGCCTGGCGTATATCAGCGCCGCAGCCTGCCAAACTTGCGAAATGGGCGGAGTGACCAGCTGGGGGAAGTGACCAGCTCCGCAGATGCGGATTTCTCGCTCCGGAAGCAATCTTTTGCGGGGAAACATGGGAATTGCCTGGTGTGGGGGCCCACATTAGTATGCCATCGAATCTCGTGAACCCTTGACCACTTTGGTTGGACAGTGCCTTTAACCTCATAAATAAAGGAGGGTCCAGCTTGAGACGGATTCCGGAAAAAGGAGTGTGAAAATATAACGGAGCTTAATGACGACAGAAGGACAGGCCAACAACCATTATGTTAGCGAGAGATCTGCTCGCATTGTGAGTCCCACGGTGGAGCGGGTATTTTTCAACTTTGAGCTAAGCGACTAAAAATCGGCACAGGGGTGTATGCTGATTACAAAAACATCAGCTTTTAGAATTATCGATTATCCATATACAGTAGCCATTAATCTGAGCTCGATGTTGTTTTGTGTCACAATGGTCGCTGATGTGGTATGAAAAAAGTGCATTATTGATCGTTTGTCTTTCTTTGATTCCGTAGGTTATACACATGCAAGCAAGATTTCGCAAAGCGGATGTTATGGCTCGTATTTAACTTTTTAATCTGACATCTCTTAACAAAAATACAATTCTGAATTCATCAGATCTTTTGACTTCGCACAGTAATTCAAAAGATTGGATCACCGTTTTAACGGCACCATAGTGCAAACATGAAATATCAGGCCTCCAATGATTTCTACAATCCACGGAGAAGTCCTGCAAAGGAATGCGCAAAAAACATTTTTCTTCATTACGGAGAGTTCATCCCCCTTCCTGCTCGAATTGAAAAAACTCATAAAAAGCTCACTTTTCATATATAGGTTTCATGAAAGATTCAAACTTTCTAGCAGAAACTAAGCCTTTAATCAATTTCGATCTCGAGGAGAGATAAAATTAACATTCTTTGGAAAAGATCCTCACATTGAGAAATTTGCCTCTTTTCCCATCAAACCTCTAACAAGGGAAGTCACTTAACTTAGGTCGGGCTTCTAAAATGTGACACATATGTTTGGAATCAGCTTGAAACGCTGATTTCAAATCTGCTTTCCTTAGCTGCGAAGCGCTCCTCTGAAGCGAGTTATGAGCTTTTTCCTGAGCAAATTTTGCGCGTTGAACGACTTAGGCATGCTACGGTATCATCATCTAGGTAGTGGTTCAAATGCATATTATACCCTATCAATGCCAAATGACTCAATTTGATGTTATTTTGATTTTCCACCACTTTTTGGGCAGATTTTCATCTAAAGACCTTCTTTCCATATTCAGTTGTATGTCAATGACACATACTAAAAAAGCTCATAACTCGCTTCAGAGGAACGCTTCGCAGCTAAGAGTAGCGTATTTGGAATCAGCGTTCCGAGCTGAATCTAAATATATGTGTCTCATTTCAAAAGCCCGACCTAAGTTAAGTGACTTCCCTTGTAAGATAACTCACAAAAACGCATTTTTCTAGAATTTGCTGAAAAAATTTGACCTTCTAGCATTAATTAAGCACCCAAGTAGACGCGATGGGAGGCGAAATCAGACGTTCGGCAAAGTAAAGACTCTCTTCGGAAAGTTTCATCCCTTTTTTGCTCAAACGTCACGAAAATCTATGAAAAACTCATTTTTTCGAATACGTTGCTAGATATGAGGTTGTCCCATAAGTTCCGTCCGTTTTGAGTTGCAACAAATCACGAACTTCTTGTTTATAGATAGGTTTCAAAGAACATTCGATAGAGCAAAGCAAGCTCCATAATATGGCTCTTTCGCTTTTGCAATAGCTCTGATCGATCTCGAGTTTCAAAACGAAAACCAAAAAGATTCAACTGCTCTGAAAATGGAAAAACTCCGAATATCGAATTTCGAATGCGAATATCTTCGAATGTTTTATTCGAATAATCGAATTTCTATTCGATACGGAACCAAGTATGGATGGAAGTATTATGCTGTCCGGAAATTGATGCTCGTTTTGAATTTCAACCGCAATAAGTCATACACCTCTCACTTTTAAATAGGATGCAGAATACCATTCGATAGAGTAAAGCAAGCTCTACAAAAAGGCCATCTTGATTTTGCAACAGCTCTCATCCACCTCAAGTTTCGAGCCAATCTAAAAAAACTCAGCAGCCCGAAAAATCGAAAAAATCGTAACTCAGTTCACAAAAATCCTACAAAAATTCTTACTTGGTCACGTAAACACTATCCACATAAGACATCTTTATACGCCTTTGCCGTATTTTTTCCTCTCTTAGAAATCAAGAAAATGGGAATTTTCGTGCATTCGCCAAAATGTAGCTGTGCCGTCCCCACATAAATTGTTGTATACTACAGACCTGTAGAAGTACAAACGTAAATTCTCAGCTCTCTATAAGCTTTAGTTTTCAAGAAATTTGAATTTTAGCTTGGACCACCTAACTAGAAAAAGCTATATTCGGTATTCCTTGAGAACTAAGGCTTGTAGAGAGCTGAAAATTTGAGTCTGTACTTTTACAGGCCTGTGATATACAACTACCAAAGTGGCGACGGCACAGCACCACTTTAGCAAATGCACGAAAATTTCCGTTTTCTTAGTTACTAACAAAGGGAAAAATACGACAAAGATATCTATAGATATCTTATGTGGATACTGTTTATATGAGCAGGAAAGAATTTTTGTATCTATAGATATCTTATGTGGATACTGTTTATATGAGCAGGAAAGAGTTTCTGTAGGATTTTTGTGAACTCAGTTTCAATTTTTTCGACTTTTCGGGTTGCTGAGTCTTTTTAGTTTTTGGCTCGAAACTCGAGGTGGATGAGAGCTGTTGCAAAAGCAAGATGGCCTTTTTGTAGAGCTTGCCTTGCTCTATCGAAAGGTATTCTGCATCCTATTTAGAAGTGAGAGGTGTATGACTTATTGCGGATAAAATTCACAACGGGCATTAATTTCCGGACAACCTAATATTATTGGCCCAAAAGTTCTGTCGTTTCATTTTCAAAAATTTGTAACTTTGCGCAATTTCAACGGATTTGCTTGCTTGTAATTTTATTAGAAAGAATAGGTTTTTGCTTTCAAACGCTGTTTTGCAAAGTTTCTGTTTCACACTGGGTGCGGAGACAAAAATGGAAAACTAAGACCATTTGAGCTTTTACCATTTTGAGTTAGGTCACCAAAAATCTGGAATGCTGCAAAAAAATCTGAAATCGTCAGCAAATATGTTTTTTGGCCTACCCTTCGCAACTGTGAAAAGCTTGTGCTCTTTGGACGTTTCTATGAGAAGTTATAATTAACGAGTTTACTATGGAAAACGCCAAAATCAATTAGTTTGTCATTTTTCGCGAAAATCATAACTTCTCACAGAGATGGCACAGCACAAACTCTTCACAGTTGCAAAGAGTAGACCAAAAACATAAGTACTGACGATTTCAGATTTTTTTGTAGCGTTTCAGATTTATGGTGACTTAACTTAAAATGGTCAAAGCTCACATGGTCTTAGTTTTCCATTCTTATCTCCTCACCCAGTGTGAAACAGAAGCTTCGCAAAACAGCGTTTGAAAGCGAAACACCTATTCTTTCTAATAAAATTACTAGCGAGCAAATCCGTTGAAATAGCGCAAAGTTACAAATTTTTGAAAAACGACAGAACTTTCGGATCAACCTAATATATTTGAAAAGATAACCTGATCAGGTTTTAGAAAATTTTTTTGGTCGCGCTTCATAGTTTTCCAAGTCTATGACGACAATATTGACGTAATACAGCGGCTTATTTGCTTCGTTCAATTTTCAAATGTTTCAACAGCATGAAGCCATGGAAAAATTTCTAACCTTCTTCTTTTTGCTTAGTTGTTTTTGCAATCCATGTGCTTTCTTTTCTACATAATTTAGATAGAAATGCAGTTCTAGGAATATTTGTAGCAAAATTACTCACAATTACGGTGGGACAGAAGTTAATTTTAATGTTTGTAAAGATTGATGACCCATTTTTTTATCCAAGCCACAAGCCGGAAAAAATAGATACCTGCATTGGTCACACCTAACAATCAGCGATGCCTGGGTGACTGGCATAAGGACATAGGTGGTATAACTATCGGACACCAGTTGCATTACCTACTTTCTTCATTTTTTTTTGGGCTATAAGAATTTGTTATCGAAGTTGGTGGCATTATTTACAAGATGGAGATACAAGGTCAATGATGATGTAAGTGAAAATTGATGACTGTTCTTTGTGTCAGCACATTGCACTTCGGTAATCACTCGCACATTTTTTCGTTTATGGACTGCTCGTACAGTACGCATATCATATGCCAAGAAAGAAAATTCTAAAAAAATTTATCGCTCGTCAAAATTCGAAACAAAATGACATTAGAGGAAAACCAGGAGTTTTTGAACTTATCTAGGTTCAAATGCATATTGAAGCCTAACAAAAATTTTCTTTAGCACATTCATAGACCCTTATTCAAACTGCTACTTGCAGCTGCATCAGATTTTTTGATGCGTTATAAGTGGTATCTCATCGTCGGAGTGGTTGTGACAATCGTAATTATTCTCCTTGTCTTGCTGGCGGTAACTTCGTCAAGACTCAGAAAAAAGTCTAAAGACTTACTTCCCCATCCTGCCTACAATCTTTCAAGGCAGTCAAAGGAAGTTCTTGCTGTTATGTGTAAGGTAATTTTAAAACTTTTAGCATACTTATTCTGGCATTATAGGTTATGATGTAAGTTACAATATGCGCAAGCTTTTTTTCCTAATTTCATTAGAAAAAATGTAGTCGTTTCGCACCTGAATCAAACACCCAAACCGAAATTGCAAGCAGATTGTTGTTGTAGGATCCTGGCAGTATATGTGGAGTTTCGACTTAGTATGTTTGGTCTTGCAAGCACCTTGATTTCGTTTTCGATTAGTGAAGTTCAGACTGACAGCTGAAAAATGCTCAACTTTCTGTGTTTTAACTAGCATGATGAGTGCGCACATTATTCGACATTACGTGTAAATGACACCGCTTAGCACCAACTCAAAATTTGCATTTTCATGCACACATAAAACGGAGCTTCGAAGAAAACTTCGAAATTGAGATTGGTCAAAACTTGCAGTCACTATCTGCTGAATGTTTTTGGAAAACATAGTAAGTGGGCTACAGATGCGCCCTTTTTTTAGATATGCAATGCACATCATTCACTAAACCCTAAAAATGGAATTTCATGGAGAAACTTTGCTTGGAAGTTAAATCATAAGGTTTTCGAGAGGTAGTCAGCTGATTCGTGCTTCTACGGAAAGGTTTTACTGTTTTATCCAAACATTTAGTGGCAGCCTTTGAATGTGACACAAAAAGCATTACTTGGCATACATTAAAATCTACCATTACCCTAACTCAGGTTTGGAGCATCCTTTAACTCAAAAGTTAGGCTTAGCTTCAAAGGTTTCCAAAGCATAAAAGCCGTGTTCTTCAAAGAGAGCATTAGCCCGAAGCTGGCAAAGCACCAATGGAAACATGGAAACGCTATTGCCGTAACAAAGGCGCAATCTTTAACTGATGTTTCTCCTACAGGGCTCTGCACAGCTGGCACCGGGTCAAGCTGGATACCGTATTTGAGGCAAAAAGCAAAGCGGATATCGTTTTTGTGGCCCAATGACAGCAGCGTCTTTTTAGTCGACGTTTTGTTTTTTAAAAGGTTCTTTGAATTTAGGGTTTAGGGTCGAAAAGGACTTTGTACAAAATTTTCAAGGTCAAAGGGGACTTCGTTTTGAAATTTCCTTGGTACGAGCTCGTGCCGAGCCCTGTTCCTAGACCAAATTTGCAAATACTCCGGAACTTTGCCATATCTTATTCTGTGTCGCATAGAACGAATTCAGATTTCAATGTTATAAAAATCACGCCGCATTAATTTAGAGAGTTTCTCAACTTGATGAAAACCTTGCTTTACAAAGATGAGCACTGGTCCAAAGCTTGCAGAACTTCATTGGAAACATGGAGGCGTTACTGTCAGAAAAAAGTTTTTGCCTTCATCACATCTGAGAAAACAGAATAAGATATGGCAAAGTTCCGGATTTGCAAATTTTGTCTAGGAGAACAAGGCTCGGCATGAGCTCATACCAGGGAAATTTCAAAACGAAGTCCCTTTTGACCTTGAAAATTTTGTACAAATTCCTTTTCGACCCTAAACCCTAAACTCAAAGAATCTTTCAAAAAACAAAACGTCGACTAAAAAGACGTTGCAATTTCGTGTCTTTGGGGCCACAAAAACCACCGTACTAACGTCAACTTGCAATCTAGGCCACAGTTCACAGCTTGCAGTGACAATTAAGTATCTATACCATGGCAAAAACAAACATGAAACAAAAAAGAAAACTAAAGAAACACTAGGGAGTTTCCATACGAATCTTTCGTTTTTATTTGGAAATATAAAGAACATGAATCAATAAAAAACAGGAAATTAACAAGTTTTGAAATTTTCACTTTATGCGGCGCGACGGACGATATCACACGTTAGAATATGGAAAAGGATTTTTTTCTGGGTATTTCCATGTAACTTCTTGTAAAATTCGCGAGATCGCGCGCGACGTCGCCCCGCGACAGAGCTGACGAGGCTGCGTCCGCAAGATTGCCTCATGGCTCAGGCTCACCAGTGCAAAATGGGTGCGGGATACAGTAAGCCAGCTCGGCGCGTGTGCTGACTATAGCGGTGAGCTTTGGCGGCGTAGTCTTTGTAGTATAACGCCACGCCGCCAAAATTTGCACTGTTCTAATGACAGAAATCACCAATATAGCTAGAATATTCATTACGCACTACAAAAAAGAACCCAAATAAAATGAAGTTTTACATTAAGCTCAGAAAAAATGTTTACGATATATCAGAGTCTAAAAAGCCTGAATACTTATGATTCTGACTGCCTAGTTCTCATGAAAACAATACGAAAAAAACATTCAGAGAGTAGCACAGCAGATAATGAACACAGATCTGAAATCAGCGTTTCAAGCGCATCCACTAATATACGTTCCATTGCAAAAGGGCACGGTCACCAAGTACCCTTTCCATGTAAGGCTTGCGCTATAGAATTATTACTTCAACTTCTTCGGAGGATTTTATTAAAAGAAAAATTGTGGAGCCTGACAATATTAAAAAGCACCGGAATTTTGTCAATTTTCCGAGAGCTCATTCACTGCAACGATTCTATGACCTTCAAAAAGAGTGTGAAATATTAAATCGAATGCTACCAGGATCTCCTAGAAATCTTTGTTACACGAAACGTGGCGTTCATTCGAAAAAAAGACAAAAAAGACTTTCGGAACGATCCAACAATGACAAGAGTCAAAGCGGCAAGCAAGCGAAAATCTCAGAGCCCCCTAATGAACACATGAAAATAGCCTGTAGGGCTCTATTTTATCCGTGAGGATGAATAAATCTAATTTGGACTTTAAACTCGTATTTCTTAAACCTATCGTGGAATGGACTGCACAACCAAAATAGGAGTCGTATAATTAGACCGTACAATTTTTACTTAAAACATTGCAATTGTTCGCATAGTATGATTGGAAACTGGATTTTCATTCTGAATGTGGGCGCTCATTCCTTAATTCTATAGAATTCGAAATAGAGAAAGTTACACTTTTTTCAATGTTGGCAATTCAAACTTTAATTCTTGGAACAAAATCAGGCCGCTTGCATCTGAACCAAACACATTAAGCCGAAACTGCACATATATTGTCAGAGCATCTTGGCAACATAATTGTAGATTTTAGATGCTTGCTAGAACTATAGATATAGGCTGCTGCATGACGAAGGCGCAATATCTTTGGGCGCAAACGCGGCTTTATTAGCTGCAGAGCGCAGAAGGCGCAGGATTTACAACGGTAAAGATAGCGCGCTCCGCGTCTGCGCCCGCTCAACTAATATTGCTATTGCGCCTTCGTCTGCGGTACCCTTTAACTTACGGCTTATTACGTTTTTTGCAACTCGGAAAAGAGGCAGACCTTTACCTCATTGCAAATTTCTTATCCAATGCACTTATTTTAAGGATATTGTAGCCAATACTCCTATGGTATGGTGCATACTCGACCGCCCGTTATTATGGAATAGCGGTAAGGTAGGGCAATTCAAATCATCGAAACAAATTTTCTTTAGCCACTAAAAACGATGACTCATCTGTTTCCTCTCAACTTGGGACGCTGAAGCAACATATGATTTCTGTGGCACCGGTTGGTTGCTTTTTCATCTCTGCCATATTTAAAACATGGTGAAAGTGATGAGTCCATTTGGCAATAGTGTCCGGACAAATGCAAGTACGGCGAAATGTAGGATATGCGCTTAGTTGCATCACCTACCCGACAACTGTTACCTATTTTTAATACCAAAATGTATCTGCTGTAGATAACTTTGAAAGCAAGTTTGTTTAAACCTTAGCTCAAAGAGAATCAATCGTGTCAATATAAGGCTGGCAAGTTATCAATGACATCTCCTAGTTCAAACAACTGACTTAAACTGAATCCAGATTTTCAGAATGCTCTCGTACAAGCGAAAAAAGAAGTTGATTACAACAGACCACTACAGCAGCGTGTGCAGATGTTTTTTGATTACGACTACGTTTTGATGATTGGAAACAACAATGACATTACGAGGATAGTCCCACGTCTGCCAAATCACATTGGCAGTCTATCGCTATATATAGGTATGCATGTGAGAGTTATTAAGTTTTCAGGAAGTGGTAAGCTTTTTTTTGAACCTGTTAGGAAGAACAGAGTCTGCACTAGCGAGATAAAGCACTACATTGGTGGGCAGAAGTCCAAGTGAAAGCAGAAACTTTTTTGGAAAACTTTTGCTCGGTGCATACGCCCTTGCACACCGCAGCAATAAAAGTCTCGAAGACGAAGTCTTCTCACCATTTATAACTCAAAGATACGTAGTTACCGTGTCTTTTCGATGTGTGACATATGTCAGGCCATGCCTTTAACATGCTGATCCTAAAAACGTGTTTTTTATCTAAACGATTTTTATAAGAACCGTATTCCTTGCATTGACGTGCTCGCATAAGGCGATGTCGAAGCTGCTAAAGGGTCGAATGGCTCAGCATTTAGCTGGGCCAGTCGACGAACCGTCGATTTGCACGTTGGATGCCGATTTGATCTCTGTCGCTCCCAATAATTCTGCTTTTGCTTTTGCAAGGGCTATTTCCTCTGAGAAAAACGTCTAAAACGGAGATAGTTTCAAGGTTAGCGTTTTGAGGCGATTTTTTTTGATATATAACATATTTCAAAGGCCACGGTCATCAATTATCCTTCGCTTCTTAGGTGTGAAACACGCTAGTTTCGGTAAAGCGGCGCACTTGAAAAAAGAAGCAAAATGATTGATACTTTATTCCTTTTTACAATTTGTAGCAGCTCGCCAAAACCGAACATCCCGAAATTTTGACATGGAAGGTTGCCTGCACTCCAAACATGAGAACAGAGCAGGTCCGAGAGCACAGCATGCCGCCCTTGCCTAGAAAATCTCGTTAGCGCAGCTATTCCGTACGCGTGGACGAGCTGGCGAACCTCTCTGACCCGTCAGAGAAGACATGCCGCAATGTTCTAACTGCGAGGGTCCCGCAACGACCCTGCCTCTCTAACCATGGAAGACGTGCCCCACTCGTCTAAATTCAAAATGGGAGGTCTTGGGAAATGCTCGGTTTTGCCATTTTCGTGCTCTTCAAGGTGGATCTTTGGAATCAGCGCCTCGAATTACCCCAGGTAAACAAAAAAAACTCTAAGTCGAGAATCTGCCGAGCCGCTGCCTTTAAAGGCACCTTCCACCTAAATTGAGGGTATTGAGCTTTTGGCGGCATATAGTATAGGGCCCCCTATCAATCCAGTTTCCAAGTTGCGGCACAAAGTGCCGCTTCGGAAGCGAGAAAATCGCTTTGGAATAGCGAAGACGCACGAGGACCCCCATCCAGGCCCGCCCATTTGTGCGCGCCCATCCAATCACCGTTCCGGAAAGCCGGCCTTTGGGTTCTCCATAACGGAGATTGTCGGGGTTTTCACGCATTCTCGACTTCATATTCGGAATCGGGGACATGATAAGGCCCTGAAATGACAAAAACATGGAAGTCAAATGTGGGTGGACGGTGCCTTTAAGGGATGCCTCCTGAAAGATGGTGAGAGGCGCTCTGAAATATAAATGATCTTGTTGTTCGCGAAGCTATAGAGCTGAAAATTTAAACCAACAATAAGGAATAGAATAGGCTCATTATAAGTCAATAGCATGACTTATAATAAACCGTTTAATCTGAGGCTTTGCCTTGTCAGGTAGTTTGAGTTGAGTTTGTCAGGTACGATACGGTGAAAAATGTTAACACTTTCCGTGATGACCGGCGCTTGTCTTCTGCGAAGCAGAGATGAGCACTGATGCAGAAAATGTAATCCATATCCTAATTCTCAGTGGCGTACCCAGGGTTTCCGTTTAAGGAGGGGGTGGGGGAGACAAGAGTTTTTTGGATGGATAGGGCGGAGACGCATTTCGAAAAATTTTTAAGGATTTTTTGGGGCTCTTCAAGTTTTTCGGGCCCATAACCCCGAATTTTCAAAAGGGGGCGTGGCCAGCTACATCCCCGAAAAAAACTTTTCTACAGGGCCAATTTGAATTGAATTTTCAAAAATTACTTTATTATTTACGAATGAAACAAGCCACTTGTACTTTTACAACACAAGTCAGTAACTTTCAAATTTTGCGACACATTCTCGATGAGGAGGGAAGGAGGCCGCGTTTCCCTCTCTCTTGGGTACTCCCCTGCTAATCCTATAAGACATTCCCCTGCTTTTGCCTTCTTTTATCCCGGTTCTTCCCTATCCCAACTGTGTTTTCGTTATCGGCATGCTCACTTATTTGCCAACTCTCAACCCCGTAGCTTCAAAAAAGGGATCGATATTTTTGACATATCATCTTTGTTACTAGCTGCTCATTTAGCTTTTGTGCCAACTCGCAGCCTCAATAACCAAAGTTTGCAAAAAAAAATTGATAAATCGACGAGGGTACAAGAAATTTCAAAAGTAATATTGTATGGGTAAACAGCAATCTACCTTACCAGGTGGTATCGTAGATGCCTTCAAACTCGCACACTTTGCGGATAGCTGTCGATTCCTGCGTTAGCTCGCATACTGATCGTAGGTCTCAATAGTTTCATGTTATGTTAGTCCACACACTATTTATAGAAGATTTTGAATTTCGCATTTCGTATAAAACACTCGCATCGCGCGTTTTAACTTGCATGCATCGACCTCGAGCGTGGACGCGCCACCAAATCGACCAAGCGTGCCATTTAATTTTCGAAAAACATCGTTAGGAGGCATAGACAAGCGGCATCTATGAGAGAATATGGCCAAAACTCTAGCGGTCGAATTTGGAGCACACACATTGGAGCTATTGACACGGGCAAAAGGCACGCGATGTTCCGGAGAGATGGAAGGAATCTCAATAAAAAAGACGATGCTTAGTAGTGTTTCGCTATGCAACCGATCCTTCATACCATCATGAATTTGTACATTAACCAGAACAATGATAAAACTGTTTTTTTTCAAGAAAGTGGGGTAACGTTTTGGTATCGCTGACTAAGAAGTATATTGTGCAATATTGCTGTAATATCCAGACTCACAAAGCCAGCATAGTGTCAGCATTTTGAGTAATAGGGGCACGTCGAAACGTGGCACCGAATTTTTTGGAGAGGGCTTTAAGCCACAGAAGGTCCCAATTCGACTTAGAAAACAAATCAAACAACCTGAAAACTCTCACACTAAGTTAATCGCAGTCGCTATCTCTGAATGAACTTTTCACTTTACCGCAGCTTATTTAAGTTATGCCAAGTGAACCGCAGTAGCTTTATTGAAATTGTTCCAAGGGTTTGGGATCACCCATTTCAATGCTTACAAACTCTTAGAAAGTTAGGCAATGAAAGCAGCGTGCTAAATAATCTGATTCACAATTTTTCAATTCTCAGAAGAAACTATAAAATACTTCTAAACAATATGGCGTTGTGAGCTGAAATTACCGTACGGTGAGCAGCGATAGGCGACTTGCTTCATACTATGAATGTATGAAAGCAGTTCTACAATATGATGTTTTGAAGGAAGGCGAAAATTTTTTGTACAAGAGAGTTGCTACAGATTACATTCGATACATTGGGACACCCTGTATATTTAGCCATGCAAGTCTCATCAAATTGTTCTAGTGCATTTTTAAAAAAGAAAGGTTACGATTTGTTTTATCAAATGGTAGGTTTTGGTTACCATCCAGAGCTCTTCGCAGCTTCAGCAAAACTTAAAGTTATCATTTTCACTGAGCAGAGCAATGTCCTATACCTTCAACTACTTCATTGTGCTAACGTTATGCAAAGTGCAGTGTTGTTTAGATGGACGGAATGATATTTCTGTGGCTTTTAAACTACTTGCTATGGTATATCTTACCCCAAACATCATTCACTATAAATACGAAGCCAGAAATGTTCGGAAAAAAACACAAAAAATTGTCAACATACTTTTCTATCAATGGTGAGTACTTTTGCACTCTTCTTTCCCAGAAAATTGTAGCCGAAAACAAAGTTGAGGATGCAAGGAATTGTTTGAGATTTTTTCTTGACCAAATTAGACGCTTTGATGCTAAATCTTACTATAATGCTTTTATTGGCTCTAAATTTCACACGCATGGACACCCTGCCAATTTCCTTTGAAAAATGACAAAAGTCTTTCTTCGGGACTTTTCTTTTGACAATATCTCCATATACTATTTTTACACAAAGAAGTGGTAACATTGACGATAAGAGTTTGAACTAGAAATGCTGAATCAACGAAAGAATCAAAAAGATGCTACCGAAGTACGCATAAAGCATGCATTTCACAGCAAAGTGTTTAAATTCCTACGTCTCATTTTGCACTTAGAATTCATACTTTGATCATTCAAACTAATCAGTCATGCAAGTTGATACAACCAGGACTCTGCATGAGGTGGCCATGGCAGTTTCTTGAAAGCGAAATCCCACTTCGCAACAAATACGACTTTTCTATGACAAGCTTATTAAAGAAGCAAACATAAATAGCCGGAAGAACAGTACAGACAGCAAAAACAATATTACAGGGTGCGGCAAAAGTCTGGGAGCCTAACTTTGCAGTACTGCAATTACAAGGATACTGATGGTTTTGATTTCAATTTTATGCCACATGATGCTGCGGTCATCCTCTACAGAATACACTTTATTTGGCTGGAAATGGCTGCCATATGTTTTTGTAAGAATGGAAATTACAAAACTAGTACTTTTGCAAAGCGAAAAAACCAGAATTTTTAGTATTTACAATTTTTGCTGTAGCTAGAAATGCTGTTAATATTCTACAAAACTTCGATGCACACAACATAGAAGAGGCTTTGCGCTATTGTATCCTAGTTTTGCTTTTGCCAGGAGCTGTTCTTCCATGAACGGAAAATAAAAGTTTTGCGAATGTTACCTACGCAGTGGAAATCCGTCTTCAAAACAAATTTAAAAGCTATAAAATGCTCAACAGGCACTGCGACCAAGGCTGTATTTTTTGCATACGTCTTGCAAATTAGAATCTATTGAAATTCCGCCATGGGAACACTTTTTATACTTTTTAAACGATAATTTTGAGTTTTCATTCGCGCAATTGTAGTCAAAATTCCGGTATGCGACGTACACATGCTTCTAATTGAAAATCAATATTTTCATTCCTAAGCAAGGCGAAAAAAAAATTTTGGAAGCATATTGTAGACAAAAAGTTGCTCTATCGTGCTCCGCATTTGCCAAGGTAAAAGAAGCAGTTATTGTGAAGGCGTGGGGCGAATTTCATTACGACTTCCTGCGTGCCATGACAAATGGACTTGCCAAGATTTTGTAGGGCTGTGTGGAAGCCAAAAGAGGCAATTTTGCAATTCAAGAACTGGGCTGTATTGGCAATAATTCGAATTATGTGTGCGCCAAATTTTTCGTTTCTAAGTACTTCCCTTCTCGTTTTGTACGAAAAAGTACTAGGCTCCCAGACTTTTGCCGCACCCTGTAGATAGACGATAAGAAACCAATGATGTTTGCGTTCCCTAAGCTGGCGACATGCCTCGTCCGGCACCTCCAACTGCGTTCTTGGACAGGTTTGCTTTCGCGAATCAGAATTTTTGGAGGGTTGTAAATAGGCGAGAAGAAGGGGTTTAGAAATGCTTACAATTTCCTTTTTAGGTTCGATGTGGTTTGAAGTTATACAAAGCATGAAAAAATTGCGTGAAGAGAGGAGAATTTATGATTTTGTTTGCTCTGAGCCACCTCAGGTGGCTCTCCCCTCAGACGACTGACCAGAACTTCCGCAACTTCAGTTTGGGAAGACTCCGCCGGGTTACCTGCTGAAGTTCCCACATGAGGTGCTGTGGAAGTTCCGAAAGATGCGAACCACAGCAGCAAAAGAGAATACCTAAGCGAGATTTGAACTTTACTCTATTGACTGCGAGGCTAACCTACTATCCTCCGCACTAGGGATGACATTTTCGACAATGCGCTAGTTGTTGGTGGAGCATCATCGTACGAGACAACACATTAAAAACCTTGCGAAAGTATTGGGACAAAGCGCTGCGGAACCGCTGGCATTTTCGGAAGTTCCCAATGCGCTTTGTGAAATGTCCTGTGGAAGTTCCCAATGTTTATACTTTTGCACTAGTAAACAAAAACCTGCGGAACCACTCCGAAAAAAGTTTGTCACGCCGCAAGCTGACTTCGTAATTTTTCATATTTAATTCCAGCACCTTGTTCATCTACGTAACAATTGTTTATACCTACTCTTCGCTATAAACATCCTTTTTGTTTATTTCGTGCACATTTATAAGTTCGCGAAATGGGAGTGTGTATGACTCATGCGACAATGAGACGGGACATTCTGTATTATATTAGGTTGTCCACTGAACTCCAATCCAGGACGACTTAGGTACCATTTGATGCAGATTTTTGTCCTCTTTCTTACGGCTGCATTTGTTCCCTGATCTGTCCTGTCTTTGCAATGTTATCGCTATGGTTTTTTGAGCAGCTCAGCAATGACGCCAAATTTATCCTGAATTTTAAAAATTTTTATCCTGTTGTAAAGACCGCTGGTAACTGTTATGTAGAACAAGTCTTTGGCTACATTGTACCCATTTTAGATTGCATATGCCATGTTTACTAAGTCCGTTATAAATATTTATTCGGTGAAAACCGCGTCTTTTTGATTACGTTTTCCACGTAAGTACCGAAAATTCCCAAAAGCTGCTTTTTCAAAGCAATTCAAACTTGGTAATGTTGCATATATAATGCTCAATAAGAATCATGTTTCAATTCGCAGGAACTTCAAATATTATCGTGTATTTGCTACAGTTGCGTGTTTCATGACTTTGCCAAAATCGAGACTCCAGAAGAAATAATTCTTTGAAACCAAAAACAGCTGATGAAAAAATTTCAGACATATTATCTTGTAGTCCGAGGAGTGCTCTGTTTGATGCATGCTTGAATCTTTCTGTTTGTTCAGAATGAAATTTCTGAAAATTAGCCCAACTTTGAGCAGATAAAACTAACCGGTGGAGAATTTTGGCAATTATCAAGAGAAGTATACAAGATTATGGTTCGAAAATATATCCATAAGAAAGAGAAGGAAAATCCGCATCGAGTGCACGTTGAAATCCATTCAGGTCTTTATTGCTCATCGTTAAAAAACGGACTAAATTTTCTGGACAATCTAATAGATATTGAAGTTCGATTTGTCACGGGGAGGGCTGCAGAGATTTATTGAATTGAAGCGCGTGAAGTTGTTCAATTCTACGACAATTTTTACTCTGTTAATTTTATATAAGAATCCATATTATTTGCCTTGCGCGATCGGAAGGTTTTCCTGAGACTTTCCGCTCCTGAGACTCCAAGTTTCCACGAAGCGTGTCGACTTTCACACACCATATTAAGCGACATATGCTTTTTTAAGGGGCTCCGCTCAGGATTCCGCAAAACAATATTCCCTTCGTTTTTTTACCCCTGTACGTCATCCAGCCTCCCTGGTAAGCCACCTGTGCCCAGCCCTATTATAACAGATCTGCAAAGCATCTGCAAATCACAATACAGTTGCGCTCCCTTTGTGTGCTAAAAAGTGTTTTTCGAGGACTTGCTGAATAATCATGGTGCACACGATTTAGGGTGAAAAAGAGGCTTCCAACAGAGTTTTCTGAATTGATGCAGCTCCTCAAATTCTGCTCGCAAAGAAAAGTGGTCAGTAACGCGATTCCGTTTATTGCAAAGTTTTTATTTAGAATATTTTCAGCTTTGTGTGAGTGATAGAAGAAAAGAAGTATTTTCGCTGATGCATCTCATGTTCATGCAAGTGATGTGTGTGAGAGAGCCCCCCAATGTTGCACAAACATTTCAACAGCATCTTCGTAAGTTAAAACAATAATTTTTCTACGCCAGGGAAGCTATCACTGCTTGTTTGCTCGAGGGCTTGATAAACATACGATGTCAAGAACTGAATGAATTAAAGCAAGATATGTAAAAATTTTCCCTTTTCAAAAAAAAGTCAAAACACTAAAGTATGTTCAATTAAGGAGTTTGTTTCGGAGAGTTTATTCAGCATTTGTCTTGTGCTTCAATAGTAATTTCTGTGGACACCGAGAAAAGCGGGGAAAGCTTTTTGACGGGAAAACAGGCCATGACAGCTTCATGGTCCAAGGTTAAGACATAGTCAACCTTTTCTATCGATCCCAATAAAATGAGTGCATTCTCTCAGAGTCTTACAAACTTCCAGAAACTTATCCGACCTATACAAAGAACTCGGATAGTTTCTGGTAGCCTACCATACCTTTAATTCCCGTTTCCACAGCTCTATGTGAAGCATATGCTTCAAGCTCAGGTGAATGTTCGTTGACCAGGTTCAGGTAAATTTTTGTTGATAATACTAGAAATTTTGTACGTTGAACCAATAGAGCTGAAACTTCACAGCAATGTTTTTACCTCAATGGATGTAATAGGCTACTTTTGCAAATCTCCCAAAATTTTGAGGACCGAATTTGACTTTCAAAAGAAGTAGTTTTTGTCAGTCTTGATAAAATAGTTCTATTCAGAGAAAAGAAGTTCAACGCGAGATTGCTAAAATCTTTTTTGCTGTTGAGGTTCAAAAACTATAGATAAGGCAATATTCTAAGGAGGGCGCGGGGCGAAACACATGCGATTAGAGCAAAAGTTGAAGATTTTTTAGAGTTCGAACTCAGTGCTTTTGCTGACTAGTGACTCGAGCAACTTAGTCCGCTAAGGATTTGAATTTTTTTCAGTTTATAAAGGTGTTGATGGTCATTTGTAAAGTTGCCGACTTTCAGGAATCTGCAACGGTGCTCCACTTGATCAGTTTGAGATGCTCTTGGTCATGAGATTCATTCTCAACTGGGCTCAAGAATCATCGTGCATTCCTTCGCAGTTAAAAGAGGTAAACGTTAACTTGCATACAGAAAAACCACAATCAGCTTTCCAGAGGCATACGATGTGGTGCCATGTATATACTCAAATGTCAGAATTTTCAGATAAGCATTATAACACGTAAGTACATCTTATTCCACCACCTGACCACAAGCATACCTCACAAATCTTGCAACTGCGTTACTGCTGATTGATATTTCAACCTTAAGTGAGGGTGCTGGAGGTAAGAGCGCGTGCAGGGCCTATTTAAGAAACCCAGTGGTTTCCGGAACCCAATGGGTTAAGCCTACCCTGTGGGTTCTGGAACCCACGAAAAGCCACATAACTGGTATTTACGAACGATCCAGTAATTTCGCGAATCCAATAGGAGAGCATATCGGCATTCACGAAACAGTTACCCAGTTCTTGTGGGTTCCGAAACCTACTGAGCACTAAATTAGCGAACCCAATTATGGTGCAAATTCGTCGGTGGGTTACATGTGAACCCAGTCTCTTTGCTGATTATGTGGACTTTTACGAACAGGGATGGTTACCACTAGTAACACTTATACATAGAAAACACTTTGCATATTCTTCAAACTGATAGGAACTTTGATGGATTAATTTTGAAAAGATATTCCGCTGAGATGGCTGACTAGCAAACTTGATGCCATTCACGATTTGGCAGTTTCTGAAAAGTGCAAACAAGCTTTTCAAAGAAATTTCGCCAACTTGTAAAGAGCCCAAGCACTTGCTGACGTTTGCTCATGCTATGTTAGAATTTTCTGATACTGCTACGACTACAGAGGGAGCCTCATATAGAAAGCAGAGCGTCTGTTTGTCTATGTTTGTCCATGCTCGTCTATATTCCCTTTATTCCGCAAATTAATAAAAAGCTTTTTGCTCTTACTCCGGCCAAATCAGCAGACAAAAGCTTTGGAAATGAAAAAAAACTATTCTTAATCAGAATCGTTTGCTTGATTTCGTGGGACAAAAATCAGTGAGAAGGGAAAAATAGTAATCATGGCAATCACGTATTAGTTTGCATCAGAGAGATTGGAACTCTGGCGATGATCCCTACCTTTGCACATTCCAATCCAAGGAAGATGTGATCCACCTACCATTTGCGCGTCCTCGCACAAGAAATACAAATGGAAAAAAGAACTTGAGCGCTTACTGCGAAGCTTGTCGCTAATAATGTAATTCCGTTTGGATGTAGAAGTTTGAAAAAAAGCATAGATTTACCTCTCATGTGTAGCAAAAGCATCTGTAAAATGAAACTTAGCTAATCCATGCACCATAACATTCGTTTGAAACTACGCAGATTCGTTTATGTCAGCTATGTCGTGCAGCCTTCAAAAATATGGGTGGTACTTCCTTATGAGGTAAGAGACAATGCTGAACAGGAAACACTTGTACAAAAAAGCGTAGTTTCTACTTTTTGCATCTTTCCACACATATGTATTATAGTCGATAATCATGTTTATGTCCAAGCAAATACTCGAGTTAACAGAAAAAAGGAAATTTAAGTTTTGTCGCACAAAAAACATTTACTGATACCATTCATCCGAATATAAGGGTTCCCAAAAGCGTGTCAAGCGTGCTGGCGCTTTTAGTTTAGCGCGATACGTGTGTGTCGAGAAATGAGAAAAATAGTACACAGACTAGAGAGGCACGCTGATGACGTCATGGATTGGCGAACCCAGCGGGGCACTTGTGAATACGATCTTGCCCACTGGAGTCGCGAACTCAATGGGTTTCGGAACCCACTGGGTTTGTTGATGAATACGGCGGCCTTAGAAGGGTTTTAGCCCACCTATTGACCGGTCTCTTTGCGCAGTGTGCAAGCTGCGAGAACTTAAACTTGGATATTGAGATGATAAAAGTATAAAGGATAAAGGATTCGGCGTCTTTAATACCTTGCGGGCATGCACCGAACGCCATCATTTCATAGTCAGAAAGGCAATTGTATGCATGCGAGCCTATTACAACGACTTGGGCCAGCCACTTACCAAGTCAGTAGCCATGTTCTCCCAGATTACTCTGGCACCAATTTACCGGCCCCGGAGGGTAGAGGGCTTGGTTAGCCCAGGGGCGGGGATCAAACCTGTACCCGATCTGGTCAAAGTGGCTCCTCATAACACTCGTCCCCATGTTGAGATGATAATAGAGAAAAACGGAGAAGAATACATAATCATTTCTCATGTGATCTGGAGAAGTGCTGCTACGTCATTTTTAAAAATGATATTTGGACAACTTTTGTGAATGAGAAAGAAAGATAGAAATTTCAAAGCATTTGTCTGAAAGAAAACTTGATCATTCGAAATATCAGAGTATGTCGTTGACCAACAGTAAAACACTAGTCATCTAGCTGAACTGATCGAACATCAGGAATTCTGAATCTGTGTGATCAGCAGTAGTTGAGAGCCAGACTACTTCTCAACTGGTAACTACATGACATAATTCGAAATGTCGGGGATTCAGCTGCAGCCATTTGTTGCTTCTGAACCTTGAAAAATCTACAAAATTTTTCAATTCTCGACTTGTTCGTCATCCTTAATTACAATGGAGGACGTCTTGCTTGCGTGTACATCTCAGAAGAGACCATTGAAGGGAGGAGCGATGATCGGAGCCGCCCTCTGGCCGAGAAAGTGTGATGACCAGGATCAAGCGTGAAGTGTGGCATGCCACATCCGGGGTCGTATTGAGGGTTGGGAAGGTGATTAGAGGGAAGGAGTTGATATCAAGATGACTCTGATGTTAGCGAAACATTGTATCCGTTAACAATGTCAAATAGTCCCATCATGCAGAATTGTAGCACACTGATGTTTTGGCCCGTTAGCGTAGTAGGCATAATGAAAGATCTAAAAAGCATGAAAGCATGGTGTTCGTAATGAGCATGTCAACCTTGCATGCCGAGTTTTAGAGTTCTGGAGTTTCCAAATTTGATGCCACTCAAGCGAGATGGTCATTTTCGAATATGTTAACTTTGTTTAAATTAATTTAAGCTTAGTCAAGGTGGTATGAAAATCAATAGAATTGCTTATGCGTCGCGATGTATCGGCTCCTTCAGAGCGCTGTAGCAAAAGTTCAATCGCGACAGTTAAAGACTCACAACGTTCGCCACTGTCCACTATCCTAAAATAGCAGAACTGAAAACTGACGTGGCCCTCCTCCGCCGTCTGTTCATAGTTTCCAAGACGCTGATAAGCTGTGAGATCAATTATTATGGCTATGCTGTCATCCTTTCTATTCATTTGGGAGTAAGGGCGGAAATATAGAAGGCTTCAAGGGTTTTAAGACTTTCCGATTCTTGCACTAAAATCGATGCGGCAAAGTCTATGTTGATGTTTTGATAACATCCTATAGGATAAGCCCCAAGTGAAGTAGAGATTTTGTCCTTTTGCGAACCATTTAGATGTTTCCTGACACGAGAAACGTGGACGCCCTGTTTCTTCTATGCAAGTAGCCCCGCAAGCATTGCAGTTATTTGTAGGCAACGTCGTATATCGTAATCTCCCTCTTTACCGTACGGACAAATTGGGCAAGCATTGATCATGCAGAGACGAGCATAGGAGCGATTCCGCACTAGCTGTTGCTTGAGATTTGTTTGAGGTATTTTTACCGCCCTTATCATATCTTGTAATCCGGCTTGAACTAGGCGAACGAACTTTGCGAACGTTCCGACTTATTCTATGAGTAGTTTCTGTGAGTATACCTGCTGAAAAGACTTTGAAGCAGTGCTCAGTTCTAGGCCTTTCCGTCACTTGAAATGCGAGCTCGAGTTTTGAACCAGGTAAAAGGACCGTTCTTGGAGAGTTTGCGCACTTTCTAAAGAAAGCTCCGATGAGTTTAGGATAATAAAGAGGTCGCATGCAAATTCTGTCGCATGTAGTTCTCGAATACCATGCACAATGCGAAATCACACGTGGTGGTCCCCGAACAGGTAAGCGAAGCCGTCCTAGCGTGCGCTAAGTAGGTTTCGCGAGAGAGCCGTTTTGTCGGTCTAAGGGTATCATCGTCCTGCCGGATTGGGCCTGGAGGTTAGTGGGGTAAGTTAGGTTTGCAAGTAACCACAACGCTATAGCTATATCCTACAAGCCCTGCATCTGCCGCGACATTGCCTATAGAGAGATTTTGTGCGAATTTATTTGTCTAGAGCCTCACAACACATACATTTCGAAACCGAAATTTGCCACGTCTTTCTGGTATTCATTGAACTCTTCTTAAAACTAAAGTCTTTATTTATGTATTCCGCACAAATCAACAAATGCGCATGAAGAAAGTACAAGCTTCTTCACAATGGAATAAAGCGCGAAAACTCAGGGTATGAGCAAGACAAATTTATATTAGGTTGTCCGGAAGTTAATGTCCGTTTTGGCTTTCAACCGCATTAAGTTATAAAGTTCTCACTTCTAGATAGACTGCAAAGTAGCATTCTACAGAGCAAAGCAAGCTCTACAAGATGGTATTCTCGCTTTAGCAACAGCTCTAATACGGCTCAAGTTCTAAGCTAAAAACTAAAAAGACCCACTCAGGGACTCGCACCGTGCGGGCGGCCAGCGACGAACTTACAATCGCTCGTTGGTGTGTGCGATTGTACGGTCGTCAAGGGCCGTTAGCACGGTTAACGTGGGGCGCCCGCACGGTTTCTAATGCTCGCCGCTTGCGCGGGGAAGGTCCGCCGCTCGCTTGCTGCTGGAGTAGGTTTATATGGGGTATTTTAACCATTTTTCTTAGGTATGTTAAGCATTACATCCTGCGAACACGGACTAATGCCTGCCGCACTACCCAAACTTTCCATGGAGAAGCCCACACCATCACTCTTGATAACTGTAGCCTCACGCAGGTTCATTCCAGCTTTGCGGTGAAGGGAAATGTTAATAAGACGATAGTCGACGCTTAGCCAGCCTAAACGCTGCGTCGTATCTCATGCAGGTACCGTTTGCGCTCACAGTGTGTGAAAACAATGAGCCGAAGGTAGAGGTCACTGTTGGCCGCTTGCACGGGCAAATGTTTGCCGCCCGATCGAGCGGACACATTGCCTGCCGCTTGCACGGTCGGTTTTATTGGGTACCGATTGCGCGGCGAGATTGCCTGCCGCTTGTACGATCAAGTGATTGCTGGCCGATCGTGCGGACGCATTGCCTGCCGCTTGCACGGTCGATTTTATTGCGGGCCGATCGAACGGGTAGACTGTCTTCCGCTTGCACGGCATTTTTATTGTTGACCGCGCGCACGGTACATCAAAAACTATGCAGTGCGCTCAGGCGGAGGAGCTTTAATGAGGACCGCCCGCACGGCGCGAATTCCTGAGCAAATGCCCGAAAAATCGAGAAAAATCGTAACTCAGTTCATAAAAATCTTACAAAAATTCTAACTCGCTCTCATAAACACTATACACGAAAGGCATCTAAAGACGCCGTTGTCGTATTTTTTCCTCTGTTAGAATTCAAGAAAACGGAAATTTTTGTGCATTTGCTAAAGTGATGCTGTGCCATCCTCACATAAGTAGTTGTATACTACAGACCTGTAGAAGTACAAACCTAAATTTTCAGCTCTCTACAAGCTTTAATTCTCGAGAAACGTGAATTTTAGCTTGGACCATCTGACTAGGGAAAACTATATCCGATATTACTCGAGAACTAAAGCTTGTAGAGAGCTGAAAATTTGCGTTTGTACTTCTACAGGTCTGTAGTATACAACTACTTATGTGGGAAATGCAAAGCATCACTTTGGCAAATGCGCGAGAATTTCCATTTTCTTGATTTCTAACAGAGGAAAAAATACGGCAACGGCTTATATAGACCCTTTTGTGGATAGTGTTTATGAGAGCGAGCTAGAATTTTTGTAAGATTTTTATGAGCTGAGTTACGATTTTTCTCGATTTTTCGGGCAGTTGAGTCTTTTTAGTTTTCGGTTTAAAACTCGAGCTGTGTTAGAGCTGTTGCTAAACGCGAGATTACCATCTTGTAGAGCTTGCTTTGCTCTATCGAATGGTACTTTGCGGTCTATCTAGAAATGAGAACTTTATAATTTAATGCGGTTAAAAGTCAAAACGGACATTATTTTCCGGACAACCTAATATTATCACAAGCGCCAAACCTGAAGGCTAATGCCGTACAAAGGCGCCAAACCTAGGGGTGAAGGCAGTTTTATTAACCACACACTGCATGAAGCGCGAATTTTTCAAAAGTGAGGATACGCGCTTGCCGCATTTGCGTGCTCAATTAACGCTGTTTTTGTCTACGCAGTAGCCCTTATTTTATCACAAAAACCCTGCCAGATAATGGTCATCACCAATTACCGTCATGGCGGAAATGTTATCCGCGGAAGCTTGGCGGTTTAGTTTTGATTTAACCTTATTCAACTGGTTTGGCTTGGCGGGGCTTTGTGACCTAATTCAGGCCGCTGGCGCCCGCGACGCACCTGCGTCTCTCTCCCGCGAGTGTTCTCTGATCTCTAGCTTTGATTGAACCACGAAACCCCGCCTTCCCGAAGCCAAGGTTGAATCGAATTGTGTGTGCTGATGTTATGCTAACGTTAGGGAATCAAAGAAGGCTATTTGCAACCTTTGTCCAAACTTCACTTAGTTACGATCTTAACCCGATACCGACGCAAAGCACTACCGATTAGTGCTTTTGTTTCATGAAAAAACAACAGCATACTTTCCAGCATGAGCATACATCCACAACACCTCTCTGGAGACCTAGCGTGGTTAGAGGAAGATGTAAATGCTGCGTACTCTTCTCTGACTGCTATTTGTTCATTCTCTGAACATCCTCGTACTGCAATGCGTGATAGATATCGTATGCGAACCGAAGAAGAAAAGAAAAGAGAAGCAAATTTACAGGCACAAACAGATCCGATTTATGTAGGTGTAAATGTATTTTTTCAAAATTTGCGAATCAACAGCGTATTCATCAGAGCGAACCGCGAAAGGAAAATGATTACCTACAATTTTCATCATCTGCACGCAACAAAAAAAGGTACATATAGTATATTTGCATACAAAGGTACACATATTTGCGTTGACATAAAACAAAATTGAGGTTTTTAGCAAAAAAGATGTGCATGTGGACTATAAAATGTCTAAAGAGGAAGGGAAAGAAGAAACTTTCGAAGAAGAGAGAAAAAATCATTCGGTATCTAGCCGAAAATCTAGCCGCAAAAAATTCAGGGACGACAATGATTTTGAAGATCAGCAAGCGGTTGCATATAACGTAAGCAAGTACAGTACCCACACTAATTATTCGACAGAAAACGCAAAAACTGACGATCCGCGTTTTTTCGTTTTTTCTTCATAACTTCCTTCAGATTGCATAATACGAATCCGAAGAGAGCATGATATTCAGCTCGTCAAGATGAACCTTCTGATATACTACACTCTCTTACTAATCCGTTTTCAGTCTGCTAGATTTTTGTGTGAGGACGGGTTTTCATAGTGGTGTAACTCAGCGTAGAACACACATGAAAGATTCAGGTAAAAACGATTCAGTAGAGCTGTTCCCGTGTTGGCGCTAATTTGCAAAGCGGGCGTGTTTTTCGTTATCAGCAGGCTAGATAACCTCTATGCGCAAGTTTCCCAAGAAATTCGGACCCTCTGGTTTTTTCTCGTTCTAGGCTCTGAAGCTCACCGAAGGGTTTTGGCTAAAATATTGATGATCTTGGATTGACCAGAAACTTCGCCTATAAAGGTTTTCGGACTCTCTGATTATGAAAATAGTGCTCTTTGTGCAGCGTAAGTCCTTTCAGCAGGGTTATGCTGAGAGGAATGCTGCAACGCTACACAAGCCCCTAAATTTGCCTGCCCTTTTCGCGTATCTGTTGGGCAATTACCTGCTTCTTTTTGTAATTGGAAGTCACCAGAGACATTGCTCTCATAGGATGCTTAAGCTAGGCCCTTATCTGTAATGATCGCCGAACTGTGAGCTTACGAACTCACGTCCTCATGAAAATTGGGTACTTTTCCGTTATCCGGACCCATTTTATTCTAAAGAAGGATAATGCCTCCTTTCTTGCACCATATTTGGTCCCAACTTCATAGGAGGGAGTGCCAACCTTCTGCCACGTCAAAAAAAGCTTGACATGCCATCTACATGTTTAAAATGTTTTGCCAGTTTGTTTTGCCCTACCTTGCGACATAAGTTCAACTTGTGTCAATATTGGCCCCATTTTCGATTAAACAATTTCAAAAATGAACGTTGTTATAATAATAACGTCACCCTGTTATCAATGTACAGACTAGACTTGCCCAGAATAGAGAAATGCATTAGGTTTCCATCATTTAAGCAAAACAAGCAGCAGCTAAGCACTACTTTGAGCTCTCATTTATAGACTTTCCTGGCTGAACTCGCATGGCGAAAAGTTGAGCTAGAAATACATTCTTGAATCATCGAAGACATTCAGATATCTAAGAATGGTTCTAGATTGTTTTGCTCTTATAGAAGTCAGTTCAACAGCTTTCAAGTGGTTACAAATGCTCTTTTACCTCATCGGAAAATTTCGAAAAAACATGTCAACATGTATCAGAACGTATCAATTATTTCCTGACGCGTGGCGGATAGGCAGCCCTTTTAGAATGTATAAATTATTTTTAGACTACAGAACGAATTAAGAGCCTTTTGAAAAATGGGTCCGGACTACGGAAAACTACCGAAAATTGCAAAATTTCAAGACCGCATATTTTGGCCAAATATCACCGCGAATGGTTACAGATCACTCTGACATCACGTTGCAGATATTATGTTTATGTACATACGTAAACTGATAATTTCAATTGTTATTGAAAACTAATACTGTATCCTAATCAACACCGTCACTCACCTCGTTATACCAATTCCCAGGCCAGGAATTGGTACTTAAAGTTTCCAAAAATCGACAAATCGAACAACCAATTACGAAATATATCCCACGAGACCAGCTCTGGTCCTAAGTTGTGTTCAAAGTTTGGTTTGCATTGGTTCAGATATGCAGTTCTGTTGGGAACATATGCACAAACACACAGTACACAGACACAGGACAAACAGACATTCATTTGAGTTTAGTATGTTATAATAACAATAACAGTTGGAATTCTAGAGTCTGTCAATCTCTCATGAAAGTCGTAGACGTCTCCTTGCAACCGTTTATTACTAGGTGGAGATAAAAGCGTGGGTTATCCACTATTTCCAGTTCGAAGGCTGGTCAGTCTTGCTACTCTATCAATTCTCTTGAATCTCTGCATGAGCGCAATGCCGCTAAATGCATTTTCATAATGTTCTTAAACACCATGTCGGGATAAAAAATGATTTCATTGTATAGTTGGTTACAGATAATACAAATTTCAAACACGTTTCTTGCAAAAGATTCGAATTCCTCTTAGCTTTGAGATGCGCGCACTCCAGAACGAGGTACAGTCTGCGTCAAAATCAAGCCAAAATTGGAAGCCCATGTCTCGCGTGCTCTGCGCCATTCTACGCTAGCTTGTCTTATCTCTTCAATCTCTTCGCTCTTCGGCGTATATGCAACGCAAAACCATACCGCTGCGAGCGCACAAACTTACGCCAACGGTTCAGCCTGACCCCCTTTGGAACATGGGGACGAGTGGCGTAGTGGTATGAGGCGCCGCTATGACCAGATCGGACACAGGTTCGATCCCCGCCCCTGGGCCAACCAAGCCCTCTACCCTCCGGGGCCGGTAAATTCCAGGGTAATCTGGGAGGATAAAAGCACTAACTTGGAAACGGCTGGCTCTGAATAGGCTCGCACGCATACAACTGCCTCTTCGACCATGAAGTTAGTGTGTGCGTTCGGCGCATGCCCTCAGAGGGTATTGAAGACGTCGAATCCTTTATCCTTTATCCTTTTGGAACAGGCTGTTTGGTGAGGGCGACTCTGAACTCTCTTAACGTTGAAAAACTTGGTAGATGAAATGAACAAAAGTAAAATAGCAAGATAGACCAGGCTTAGATCTGAAAATAGTGAATAACCCACGCTTTTATCTCCACCTAGTGATGAACGGTTGCAAGAAGACGTCTACGACTTTCATGAAAGATTGACAGACTCTAGAATTCCAACTGCTATTGTTATCATAACATACTAAACTCAAATGAGTGTCTATTTGTCATGTGTCTGTGTGCATATGTTCCTAAAAGAACTGCATATCTGAACCAATGTAAACCAAACTCTAAACACAAGTTAGGACCCGAGCTTTTCTCGTGGGCTATATCTCGTCATTGGTTGATATCGATTTGACTTTTTACAAAATTTAAGCTATCAGCCTGGGAATTGGTATAAGTAGATGAGTAAGGGTGTTGATTAGGATACAATATTAGTTTTCAATAACAATTACGCTCACCGATTCTACCGATTTTTTTGCAAACTTGAGCTACAAGCTCAAGGGGTAAGCAAACGTAAGAGTTGGCATAGGGGGTAAGCAAGTATGCTGCATTGAAATTATCAGTTTACATATGTACATAAACATAATATACACAACATGACGTCAGAGTGATCTGTAACCATTCGCGGTGATATATGGCCAAAATAGGCGATCTTAAAATTTTGAACAATTTACATGAGGACGTGAGTTTGTAAGCTCACAGTTCGGCGATCATTATAGATAAGGGCCTAGCTTGAGCATTCTATGGGAGCACTTTCTCTAGTGACTTCCAATTACAAAAAGAAGCAGGTAATTTGCCCAACAGATACGAGAAAAGGGAGGCAAATTTAGGGACTTGCGTAGCATTGCAGCATTCCTCTCAGCATAACCCTGCTGAAAGGACTTACGCTGCACAAAGAGCACTATTTTCATAATCAGAGAGTCCGAAAACCTTTGTAGGCGAAGTTTCTGGTCAATCCAAGATCATCAATATTTTAGCCAAAACCCTTCGGTGAGCTTCAGAGCCTAGAACGAGAAAAAACCAGAGGGTCCGAATGTCTTGGGAAACTTGCGCATAGAGGTTATCTAGCCTGCTGATCACGAAAAACACGCCCGCTTCGCAAATTAGTGTCTTACTGTATGGTTACGGTAGCTAAAATTCGATTTTTTCAAAATTCACCGACCTATCTTTCTCTGTGGATAGGAAGTCCTCCACTAAGCGCTAGCGCATGATAATATTCTACGAGAACAGCTCTACCGAATTATTTTTACTTGAATTTCATGTGTGTTCTACGCTGAGTTACACCACTATGAAAACCCGTCCTCACACAAAAATCTAGCAGACTGAAAACGGAATAGTAAGAGAGTGTTGTATATCAGAAGGTTCATCTTGATGAGCTGAATATCATGCTCTCTTCGGATTCTTATTCTATGCAATCTGAAGGAAGTTATGAAGAAAAAGCGAAAAAACGCGGATCGTCAGTTTTTGCGTTTTCTGTCGAATAATTAGTGTGGGTACTGTAGTTTACAATTGCATGTAGTTCCAACGCCGAAAAAAAATTCGTAGGTTTCGTTTCGTCCCATCTTTCATTTCAGCTTAGAGCTAATGTATATCGTGAAAGCTCAAAAATGATGCAGGCATTTTTGTTAATCATCTGCTCAAGTGCCTACTCTCTTGTTTGATATCGTTTAAAGATTCTGTATATCATTGCCGTACATTTCATCACTCTTACAATCTTTTCGTGCTCAGCTACTTTCCTATTTTGGCACAGGTATTACGGATGCCTACTGGCATCCGCTATGGTGATAAACTTGCACTTGTTCACGCATTCCCTGTCATCATAACATGATGAAAACACCATTCCTTGCCTACAAAAATTTCTTTTACTGTTTCTTTTCAATAGCTGCATATGCCCCGCATTTTTCGTGATCAGCATGCTCATTCAATCCACTGTGCCAAATCAATCCTCGTAGACCAGTGTTTGCAAAAATTGATAAATCGGTATTGATCGTGAACAAAAAAGTAGCATAATCCGCCCCACCCTGAAGTGTATGTGTGCAAAGTTTGGTCCGGATCGATATGGAAATAGATTTTCCTTACATACGTAACATTTGATTCAACTGGTTTGGGACCATTAGG